GTGTTGATGCCGGCTAGGTGACAAATCTTACAATTTGCGAGCTTCCAAAGAATGGGCTAAATAACCCCCCCTTTTGGGTGCGATCTTCAAAACACACCTCCAACGAGGCAAATCGCCGTCCCAAGTCTCCTCCGGCAAATCGTCTGTGCCATAAATGCGGCGCCTCGGGTGCTGCGGGAATTTCTCTCGCTTGCGAGAGAAATCATCAGAGGCGCGGGTGTGTCTGTTTTGAGAGGACCCCCACCAAACAAAACATAAACAGCTAAAAATTAGAAAAAGACACCACCAAAAAAAGAATCGAACTTGAAGCATCGAACTTGATTCCTTCAAGGCGAACCACGGTCGACACTCCCTCTTTCCCAAGTGACCAGCAAGTAGTTTGCGCCACAGGCGCACTTTCCGATGCGCAAAGTGTTTGCCGTGGCTGTGGTTCGTTTTTGTATTTAAGCCGGTTGTTGGTTGGCTAGGGCGACCATAAGGACAACTCAATGTCTTTGTTTTGGGGTCGCCCCTATTTCTTGCAACACCGTGTCAACCATTTGGTCAGATCGGAAGGCACCAAACGGAGGGACAGAGGGGCCCGAGTCCATGGAGCAGATGGACAAAAAGCCGGCTGGTTTGATAGGCAGGCAATCAGTTGGAATGAGCCCTATAAATCATCCCCCATGTTCTTGTTCCCTTTGTATACGTTTTTTTTTTTAATGGATTCGGTTCATTCCCAACACCTGGAAGGTCATTCCCTGAGCACCAGCAAGAAATTGCCAGTGCTCCTTTTTAGTTGGCTTCGCATGGTACCGAATGCTCCCCATGAGGAAACTTGTCCAAATGGTGAGCCCCTGTTGGCACGCCGCTGCAGCTCTGAATCACCCGACACCTATGTGGAAGCGAACATCCACTTCTTCCAAGCCCAAGCTGCTTTTTGGGGACCCGTTGCCATGACCAAAGAATCTGTCGAAGTGATGGGCACCTCTGACTCCAGCCAATGTTCGACCCGATGAATTGAAGTAGCCCCACTCGCATGGCGGTCGCCCTTTCTGTGTCCAGTTGGAATGGATGGGCACTAAGGCTGCGACAGTTCGTAAAGATTGCGATTCCTCAGTGGCCGTATGGCTGGTTGGCACCAGGCGGCTCACAAAACAGAAATCGCCGGTGAGGGAACCTTGTAGCATGTGCCCATGCGAGTTGTTGATTGTCTCCAGCCTGGCTGATACGCCATGCCATACGCTGGGTCGATGAATGCAGCCTATGCATTTAGTGAGTGCATGTTGCAAACACTCTTTGAAACATGCATGCTCGTACAACGGAACATGCCACTGAGGCGGAAAGGTATGGACAATATTGAACATGAGACTATGACACGCAAAACGCGCGGGAAAACAGAAGCCTATACCGATCAGCGATTGACAAGTGCAATACTGTGTTGGCGGCATTCGTTGAGCGTCGCTCGGATACAGTCTTTTGAAGGATCCAAAAGAGACGCAGCGAACCAACAAGTTGGAACTTGCAGCATCAAAGAACTACCAACCAAATGACTACCAACCAACCAACAAACCAACCAACCAACCAACCAACCAACCAACCAGCCAGCCAGCCAGCCAGTCAGCCAGCCAGCCAGCCAGGCAGCCAGCCAACCAACCAACCAACCAACCAACCTCATCTGGCCCGAACATGGCGCCCATCTCTCGCACGTCCGAAACTGAACGCGTAGGTCTTTGAAAAAACAGAAACATGACAGCTGCCCTCGTCCTTTCTCAAGGGCCGCCAGTTTTGTGCCAAAACAAAGGGGGGGACCGCCGTAAGGCCCATAACCATGTGCGTGCGTCCTGGTTTGAGAGTGCCCGTTGCTTGCTCTCAAGGGAACCATACGCATATTTGGGCGGCCCTTTAAGACAACCCCGCATCTGCAGTCCGATGCGCTTGATGAGGTTTGACAGGCAGGGCTGCAGCTGGGGTTCCAGCCTAGGCTGGCCGTGTGAGCCACCCGAAATAGAACATGGGAAAATGAGTGCTTCCATCCCCAAATGGATCACGGAGAAATCGGGATTTATGGACGGAACCTCCAATTAAACGTGTTAGGCGAGGCTCAAATGTGTGGCTTGCCTCAACCTGTTTTCAGGTTTCCCGTGAGGTGGTCTTTGGTCTGGCTCACTACACCAACGTTGCAAGGAAGCAAAATGCAAAGCAGACCGCAAGGCGCGTTTTTCAGACACACAAATTGGAGAAAGTCAACAAGCGGCTTCTGAACTTGAAAACGACGTTTTATTAGCAGATTCCCAAGGCAGTACGCGTGTTTCGCTATTTTCATTGAGTCTCTTTCGGGTTGATATGCCGGCTGGGGGGCTCTTTCAAAAGCTGAACCTTCAAAATGACAAGGGCTTCTTTTTGGCATCCCACAACCCCCTGTCCACAAAAATGGGACCCACCAAATGGACCCACCAAATGGACCGGTTCACAACCTCGCTTCCTGGATTGTCCAAACGACTTCTTATTTACCACTCAAATGGTCCAAACCTAAAAAAGTGCAGAACAGGGGTGCATGTTGAGGCTTCAAACTGTCATGTTGTTTTAGATAATAAATAGTATTGCCTTCCAAGTAGGATTTCACTTATAGTTTGATTCGAACGCTTCTTCTAATTCATATGCTACATTGAAATTTAAATGTGCACACCTGAGTTAAATTTGAGTTTTAAAAACATGCATAGTTTGATTTGAAAAGCATGTCCTTCCAAGTCTAAATAGGAACTTATTTCCAAAACTTAATTAGATGTTTAACATAATTTGACTAGAATCCAGTAAGGAGTTACAAGCTGGCTGTTGCTTCTGAGTAGCTCAGTTACATTTGTTGAATCATATTTTAAATACAATGTCAACAAAACCCTGGTACCAGTAGAAATTATTCTAGTTGGTTTAAGTAGAACTGATTAGAGTCTTGATTAGAGTTCGTATTGTGAAATTGGCTTGAAAATGGAATTCCTTTGCAAGTAGGACTTTAAATCGAACTCAATTGGAAAGTAACCAGAATCTAAGAAGGAAAGACAAACACGCTGGTGATGTCTGTCTTCCAATTTGCCTAGACAACGAAAAACAAGCCTGAGAACAGACGTAGACCCATCATAGACACAGAAAACACAAAAATTGGAAAATACCGGAAAAGAAAAAAGACTCAAGAACACCAAACAAGCCACCTCGAGGAAATCAAGAAAAGCAAAAACATAGCCTCGAGAAAACAACCAAACACAAAACAAAAGAATCATGGTTCCAGACTCTTTCAACATGGGTTGTGCACCAAAGAGTTTCTAAACCATGTTTGTTGTCTTCTCGAGCCCTTTTTGGCTTTTTCATGGTTTTCCTCGAGTTGTTTTTGGTGTCTTGTTTTCTCAAGATGTTTCCTCTGTATGTGTTCGATCAAGTGCAACTGACACGGCTGACCCATGGGAAGACTGCAATCTAAAACTTGCACTCCGATTGGAATATAATTTGCTTTTTCCGTGCTGGTTGTTCACTCTTTTTGAGGGGCTTGAAGATTAGAAGAAACACCAAGCTTGGTTCTCCTTGTTGGTTTCTTTGAATTCTTCTTGAGGAAGCCCTCTGTTAAATTCTAATTCAAAATACCATGCTACATTGAATTCCAATTACAATATGATTTAAGTTTAAAGCGTGGCAATCTAAAGCTTGTAAACCCATATGCGCTTCTGGTGTTTCACTTCTTTTTAAGGGGCAGGCAAATTCGCCGAAACAACAAGCTTGTTTTTGCTAGCAGCATCATTACCAACCTCCTAGAATATTGCGTTTTTGGCTTGGGCGCTCTCCTGCATCGCAATCCAGGAGGCATACTGCGGAGTGGGGGGGTATTGCGTAACTTTTGTTTGCTCATGCCAACACGTGCTCACGTCAGTGGCTTTTCAAGCATGCAGACTCGCAATGTCACCGTCCTTTGCCAGTTTTTGGGAAGCCAAGGCCAGGCGGGAAGACATGTTCCGCTGAGGCCGCTCATGAATCCCCTTGTAAACGGCAACATGGCCCAAGCGTTGTCGCGCTTGCCACTTTTGCATATGACACACCCCACCCACTTAAAGAAAAACGAGCCCCCTCGCGGACTTGCTTACATCGCGCCATGATGACGGCGGCAACGGGGTGGGAGGTCATCAACAATGCCGGTACCTTGTTTTCCATACTGGAATCGAATTGAATTCTAAGTCAACTCGAGTTGCAGCTACTCTGGCTTCGATAAATAGCAACCGTTAGCAGGCAGCATGTTACAAACATCAAAAGTAGAGGACCCCGTTGACTGATTCAGAAATCGCAGTTACAAACATTCTTCAGCAGAGCCAGCACACAACTTGCTCCAGATATCAAACCTTAAAAAAAAAAAAGCACTACCACAGTCCCTTCGATGTTTGTAACGTGCTGCTAATTGTTGCTGTTCATTGAAGCCAGGGTAGCTGCAATTCTCTCAAAGCATCTCTCTTTCATTCCTGTTTGGCATTCGTTGATTCCAGTAGTGACTAATGAGGATTCCAGTAGCTCCTGGCTCACAAGAATTAGACTTTCAGAATGGAAAACCAAGCAGTGACTATACAGTCCGGAACGGCACTCGGGAAGTGAGCCAAATTGACTGCCAAGTGGCTGAGAGTAGGGCTCCTGAGGCGACAAAAACACTTCCGAGGCGAAAAGATATGAGCCCCTGACAAAATCCGGGGTTCCCCAAAAGGACATGGGAAATCTGGGATGTTTTCCTGTGTGTGTGTGTGTGTTTTCTTCTTGTTTTTCGGGGGGGGGGGGAATGTGGGGTGTCCCCCTGGTGTTTGTGGAAAATGTGGGGTGGCCCCCAATGTCCTCCCATGTGAACAATAGCCTGCAAATAATGTTGTCAGTTGCTCATATGCGTTTGGGTCAAAACTGTAAGGAACCACCAGGAATAAAATTAGCCCATGTGTCCATTTCACCAGGGTTCCTTTGTGGTACTTATCCTTCCCCCACAGCATATCCGAAAATATGTGTCAGTCGCCATTCCTCAAAATCCCAAGCGAAGGAACGGGAGAAAAAAAGAAAAAGACAAAAAACAACAGAATCGCTCCCTTCATTTGTTGGACTCATGCTGGCTCTCGTCTTCGTCGCACAATTGTTTTTCGGTCTCTGGTGTGGTTCAGCCAAAGTGGGTCACGGCTGTATTCATCTTGCTTCGGCAAAATCCAATGGATCTTCCCTCTTTGGTTGATTGCAAAGGGGAGACCAAAACATGGAACGGGTTGACGTCCAAGACATCTGAACAAATATGGGTGAGAGTTGAAAATAGGGATTAGGTGGACATTCAATAACTTCGGAGGGGATGCGTGTCCACCAACCACTTTTGCGATGGTTCCTAACTAACTTCACTGCCATATGGGCTCGCCATTCTTTGAGGGAACCTCGTTTTTCCAGGGAAACCAAAACAAACGCCACCATTTGGGGGGGCGGGGTCCAAAAAAAGGACACACCCAAACGGTACAACATGATGTACAGTAAGCCGCAGATCACAGGTCAAAGCCGCGTTTGGGTTCAACTGTTTGGGTGTCTCTTCTGAGGGTATCCCGAAAGCTTGGCAGAAAATCTGAAGCCAAAAGGAGACCGGTTGGCAAACCCGCTCATGCTTGGTCCCGGTGCCTCTAGTTTGACGCGGCCTTACTTGCGTGGGTCCCCAGTAAGGCAAACCACGCCTCGCTTTTTGTGGGTGTCCCGTTCGCTTCAAGTGGCACAGATATGAAGTGCAAGATGATCTCTGGCCCGAAACCACGGGGAACACAAGAGTAGACAACCACTTAGCAACCTCTGGGTTGTTCCCTTCGATCGCTTCAACTTGTGGCGTGGAAAAAACAAAAACAAAAAACGAAACCAACTAAAAATACCTAAACGTCTGAGGAAGCAGATGGCAAACGAAGGGGGAGAGAGTGGGTGGCTTGGTTGACCGAACGGTGACCCCTTCGTTTTCCCTGTGAAGGCCGGCACTCAAGGTAACACAGGGCTCCCTAGATTTCCCTTTTGAACATCACCCCACCAAAAGGAAACTCAATTTATAGGGTCCCAAAAGGTGATGTTTCAATCTACCACAAAGAAATATAGGGCACCCTGTAACACGGCTGGCTTTCCCTTGGGCCGCGTGTGGAGCCCGCCCGAGCTCAGCTTTTGTGCGAGCTGCCCACAGCGGGCGCAGGACGAAGTCGATAAAGTCCCGCTGCAGCTTGCCGCGTTGCTTCGTGTCCTGACGAAGCCGAGACGAAGCGGAGACGAAGCGCGCTGTGGGAAACGGAATCCACGAATCTGTGAACAAAAAGGGCAGCCCCAAAGACTAATTCCCTACGGGAAAAGATTCTATGACAGAAGTGGTTGGATAAACCCCGAGCGATCCCACAGCCCTGGCTCTCATAAAAGTGAAGCGTCTGGGGATTTGCCGTGAAAGGCCGGGGGGCTTGTGCATGTCAGCGTGCCTTCATTACCCATGGCTTGAACAATCCACACCCAATATCTTACGCTTACGTCTTGCCGTGACCAGCCGAGAAGCTGGTTTGAAAGTGGAAAGTCTCCAGGGCTGGTTGCCATCGTTTTAAGTCTTGCGCATTGACGCCGTCGGAAAAGCGTCGGCGTCTTCCGCTCGATCTTCGTGGACCAAAGGTTGACATGCCGAAGGCTGGGTCTCCAAACTGCGCGCAAGGCGTGTTCACAAGACAGCGTTTGAGTCACGGCGTTTGAGCATCTCTTGTGGTGGCGTGGAATGGAGTGTGGGCGTCGAATGGGTTATACAGCAATTTCAAATGGGTAGGGTTATTTGAGCCCCCTGGGGAAAAGAAACAAACAAACAAAAACATATCCAGCAGTGACAGATTCCCTTTCAAACCACCAAGCTTTTTGCTTTTTGCTTTAAAAAATAATAAATAAATTAAAAAAGAAAATCCTAAGCAAATGGACGTATGTGTTACTATGATTTTTCGCTTCTTGGGTGAGGGGAAGGAGAAACGTCCTGCCGGCATCTAGCCATAGGAGTACAAGAAACCCTGATTTCCTTCGGTCACGGTTGACTGTTGATTCGAAGCTTGACTTGGGAGCTGCAAACACCATTCAGAAGGTGTGACTAACAATGGAGGACACAAGGAATCAACAGCGATCCGGCCTGAAACACAATCTTTGCCCGGGCATGGCATGGCACAAGCTGCATGAGCGATCCCTACACTTGGCTTCCCTACTTGGCTGTGGGTAAAAAATAGGTACCCAAAATCGAATAAATGGAAACATGGACTAAAACCTGCGGTCTCCCAGTGGTTTAAATTTTGACCCACACCCATTTAATTTTCTGGTCGTTCCGAATCAAGGGACCCTTCCCATTTGACTTCTCAAAGAGGAACAAAGTTATCTATAGGTTTCCCGTTGGCTCCCCGTTCCAACGCCCTCCGCTTCGCTCCGATGTGGTCCGATTCGCGTGCCTCCATCTTGAAGTGCATGAAAGGCTCCGGCGTGAAGCCCAGCTCCTCCTCCTGCAGATCAAGAGCTGAGCCAAAAAAACTGCAGGAAACGGAACGGGCCAGCGCATGGAGTTCTACGGGTGAGGGGTGGGGGGGGGGCACCAGGCTTTAGGTGTATGTTTCGCAGTAGAAAGGGCCCCTCATCCCAGCCGGTTTGTGAATAGCTTGTCGAGGTATGGCAACTGTCACCAGTCATCTGACTTCTGCCCCGTTCCACCTGCAGCCTACTTGCTGCCGGGGCAACATACATGTGACATGGCTTGATCCCATTCAGAAAACCATGTACCCCTCACGAGAGCAACTCGAATCTAGGAAGAAACAACACTGCACAGAAGCAGCTCACCCATTGGTGCCACAGAATCAACGATGCTGTGGTGAACACTTTCCATGTCGGTTGTGGATTTTTGGCCCTTGTCTAAAACATCGCAATGGACGACCACATGGACGGAAATCCACAGCGAGCCACACCAACCCCAAGGGTGTCATGTGAGGTTCTTTTTGGGTGGGGAGGCATAGGGAATCATCCATGGGGTTCTTCACATGAGAAGCAGATTAAACCCAAAAAGGGTTTTCACATATCCCAAGTTGAGCCCACGGTTACCCCCAGCCCCGTGGATTTCTTTGGTCAGGTTCTCCTTCCAAAGATGGAAAGGGCTCGCAACCCACCGAAGATGTCAGATGGGAAATATGGGAGCCCCCCAATTTGCTGACCATTTCTGGTGTGGCTCAAACTTAAGCAGGGGTCATGAAGGCAGTCTTTGTTCACACAGGTGCCATTGTGGGTATGCCGTTTTTTAGGCAGGCATATGTCAAAAATGAAGAATTTCGGCGTTAAAACCACCTGGAAGGAATTTCCCTGGAAAAAGCAGCCCGAAAAACGGCTTTGACTCACCTGGCCAATCCGTTCGACCAATCAATCAATCTGTCCTTGGCCGCCTGCTCGGTAAACTCCTGGCAGATCCGGTCCTCCCACTTCTTGGCCACCTGAAAACCGGAAAACTTCCTGTGGCCAAGTCACGTGTCAGCTTGGCCCCGATGGTGTTCACATTTCATGTCTTGGCCTCAGTTGTTGTTGTTTTTGTAAAACGACGCAGCCATGTGAGTTGTTTGAGGCGGGCTGTACCTTTTCGGGGCTGTTTTCCTTTTTGTTTCCTTGATGTGAAAGGAAAGCCCGGCATTTTGGTGGCTCCAGTTGGAAATGCTTCTGTGCTCTTGTCCAAGTGGCAACAGAATGGGAACAACAGAATGGGAAGGATTCGGATGGACTTGTCGATTTGTTCAGCCTTCTGTATTTGTGTTTTCTGTTGAAACACTTCCCGAGAAAGTGAGGAAGTGTCTCCCATCCACCATCCACCAAACCAAACCCCAGATCTGAGGATGGGTGAATAAGCCGTCCCCACCTTAGCGGACTCGTCCCACAAAAATGCCGCCAAACGGGCAACCCTGAAATTCTTCCCGCCCCCCCCCCCCCCCTCCCCTAAGGCAACCCTTTTGGGAAACCAACGGAAAAACCCACCATGTTTGTGATCCTAGGTGTGGCTGCAAACGAACCCTTTCGGACCGCCCGGAACTTGTTTTTGCGCATACTCCGCATCTAAAGAACGCAACAGGGTCTTGATTCGTGATAGATATCTCGATGCAGACTTGCGAAATGAAAACGGAAACACCGCAAACAGGTTTAATGATTCGTGGCCTGCAGCTTGCGTCTCTTGGGCCATGTGGCCTAAAACACAGGTGAATTCACCAATCCCAACCAAACTGGGATCCAAGACGGGGTTTTGACCACCACGGCCCTGTCTTCCTTGGCGCTTCTCGAAGCTTTCTCCCCTTTTGGGGGGCCAGTGCCCCCGCCTCCCAGCGGAGCACTTGCGCGGAGAGGTCCTTGGCTACGCAGAGAAAAAGAAAAATCACGTGGGCTCCGCTTCCCGCGGCGCGGGAAAAGGCGTGCTTCCTGGGAGGGCGGGTGCGGGGAAATTTCCTGCGCGAAAAAAAAACAAACTACTGAGCTGACGGAAAGGTGTTTGGAAGACCAGCTTCTTTTCTTGGGGGTTTTAGAGGCCTCCTGGCTCGCGACCACTTCCGTTGGGGGTCGAGGGTAAATCACCTGCGGGGTCGAGTTCATCAACGTGACAAAGCTGATGAATCCACTGATCCTTCTATTGACCTTGAGTTGCCAAGCCCCGAGCTTCATGATCCTTAGAACATCTAATTCCCACGGATCCACTGATTACATGTCAACCTGACTCACCCCCCCAGCTTCGAACCTGGCGAATGTTAAGATCGCCATTTGTTGATCCTGGGCTCCCCAGACCTGAATCTCACCGAAATCACCACATGAATGAAGCCCCAAGCAAAAAACGCCAAAAAAAAAAGAGTAGGCGGTGTAAAACCTGCACGGCATCAACTAACGGGCTACCCTAGCTGGTTGTGTATTTTAGGGAGAGATTTGAGCTCCCATCATTTTTCATGCGGCCGACGAGCATCCCCTCCAAGTCTCGGGAAAACGAGGGGTTAGGGCATGCCTCGAGCTTCCTTGGGCTCCAGGGATGGCGAGCCAAAAGGAAAGGGCTATAGAGGCCAACTCAACTCACGGCTCTGTCACTGGTGTCCTTTTTGGAAAATAGATGGGGTTGGTAGATGAAACTACCAGAAAAAACCAGGAATCGCCTTCTATTTCTTGAGCAAGCCAACCAAAAAGGACACCTATGTCTGTCACGGGAAGCCTCGTTTTGACTGGCCCAAGTGTACCCTACAAATCGAAAGGGGTCCACCCATCCTAAAACCCCGCCAAGAAAAAGACACAGACCGCATCACCAACACCAACCCCCGAAGAAACACCACCATTCGGGGGACACCCGCCTCCATCTTCCCGGCTAAAAGGTCCGCGGGATCCGAGTCGGGTGAGAAAGACGGCACCATCTGCCCCGAAGTCTGAAGTGGTGGCTTTCTTTTCGATCTGGTACCAGAAAAAAGACGAACCATCATCAATTCTCTGAGGCTCCCCTTTTGGGTTCCAAATCCAAAACTGAGTGAGCGTTGTTCACCACGAAGACTTGATGCTTCCAAGAAGTAAGTCCAGGCACGAAAGAAGGCCACCCATTCTGGGCTCCCCGGGCCTTTTTCTTCCCCAGACGCTCCAATTCGATGGATTTTGGGCCTTCAAACGGCCAGGTCTTGAGACCCCAAAACCCCCAAAGAGGTGTCCAATGTCCGGGTCTTCCATTGGAAGCCGAAGCCAGGAGCGTCTGGGTCAATGGATTTGTTCAATCAGAAAGTCCAGGCACTCAAAACGTATGCCACCCATTTTGCTATACCCCGGTGTTGTTTTTTTTCCCTTCCACGGATTCCTCGGGTCGAAGGAACCGCCGCGTGGACGCAGACGTTCATCAGCAGCTGGGTGTCCTCCGTGACCGTGGACTGGAAATCCTCCGCGCTCACGCAGCCTGACGCTCGATCGCTCGATCGGCGCGGTTCGGCAGCTTCGGACGGGGGGGAGAAAAAACCACGGATCTGAAACCGGTCGAGTTGGGTTTATTTATAGGTCAAGTATCAACGAAAACCCAGGTTGGCTAGTTATGGGTTTATTTATAGGTTTTATTTATAGGTTGGCTATCTTTTGGTAAAATAGAGGGGTTTCCCGTTTCCCTGCTAAATGTCATAAAACCATAGTTCAACTCTCAAAGGATTTGGCCTGGTTACTCGGTTGCTTCCATTTCTTGAGTAAACCACTTGGGGGTCTTGTGTAGGGGGTCCAGTCTCCTAGGTTCTAACACCGTTTGGTTGGTTCCAGTTCTAGGTCAAGTCTAGGGTTTTGCCTTGCTTCAACTCGGCTGAAATGTTCTTGAGTATACCAATGGATCCCAGATATACGTAGACAACCCTTCGCGATGTTCAACTTTTGGTTTTAATTCTGGTGGCAAGCCCTTGGTTACCTATGCAGGCAAATGGATCCACTGGGATGGGTGAGACACCAAAATGGCTTCGGTGTTCCTATGGTTTCCATTCAAACCCACCAACAACAGAGGGGAACCCCCTCCCCCCAAGAAAAAGAAACAACAAGACAAGACACTCTTAGGGTGATAGATGCCCTTTCAAACCAACAAGGGAAAATAAACAAAACAACACAACCAATAATATCATCTCAGAAAATGAAAGCCTATACAGGCAAATGAAAATATGTCTTTCTTGTTGATTGTTTTTTTTTTGGGGGGGGAGGTGGGTTCCCCCTCTTTTGTTGGTGGCTTTGCGTGGAAAACCATAGGAACACCGACGCCACCGCGCCTATCAGTCGCTGGCAGAGCCCCTGGTGGTGGGCCATGTCCTCGGAAAAGCGGCGGCGGTCGTTTTAAATATTGTTCGCCAAACTTGACAGGCACTCTCGATTGCGTAAGCCGGAAGTAATCAAGAGTTCGTACCAAGTCACATCAATAAACCCGTGCTATTCATCTTTTTTTTTGGGGGGGGTCTAGAGATGCGTCGTGCTGTTGGTCGTGCTTTTGTGTCCAAAAGAGATGCCGACCCGTGGCCATATTCTTCGAACCTGACATACAAAGAGATGTGTCCACCCTTCTCTGTGAGTTGGACATGTGTAACTACGAACTAAAATATATGATGCCCCGGTATAGCATATATCATAATCTGTGTATATATGTATTATCTAAACCTGAGGGCTAGAGAGAGGTCAGCAAGACGAAGGGCCAACCTCGTGCGCACCAAAGCCAGGGGCCTTTTTCGCGCCCCTGCGGCGTTCCATTGGCGTGTTCCCAGTGGATGTTGAAAGGAACCCCCCTGAAAGGGGGCCCCTGTATACCCAGTGGATCCATGTACCTGTATAACCAAGGGCTTGCCACTCGATGTAAAAACCAAAAGGACAATAGCTGTTTTTTTTTGTGTTTTTGTTTTTTTTTTTTGGGGGGGGGAGGGCACCGCTTTCTTTGGTGGTTTTTGAATGGAAACCGAAGGAAAACCACCGTTTTGGTATATTTCCCCGAAAATAACCCCCCCCCCCGGGAAAAAAAACTCACCTCTGCCAAGGGCAATTCACCTTAACACTTGGCAACTCAAAATTGTGAGCTTCAAACAGAACCAAACAAAATCTAGGGACTGACCCATCCATCCAAGGGGAACCGGTGCATTCGATTGGTTGCATTGAGAGGGGCTTCCCATTTACCCTCCCCAGAGGCTCCAATTCGATTTATTCTTAGGGCCTTCAAACAACCGGGTTTTGAGACCCACCACCTCCGTGGTGTCTAATGAGGGGTCGGGTCTTCCATTGAAAGCCCCAGAAGGCTTTGAATCCAAGGGCTCCAAACCAAAGATCGAACAGATATTTCACCGGCGGGGAGAAATTTCTCCGGGGTCGTTGCCTCAGATGCCCAGTGGATGTCCATGGGAAAAAAGAATTAGCACCCCTCTGTTTGGTTGGTTGAGTTTCAAGGAATCGGAACCCTTAACCAAAAAAAGGAAAAATAATCGGCACCCTTTTTTGGGTTGGTTGAGTTTCAAGGAATCGGAACCTGTACCCAAAAAATGGAAAAATAACCCTTTTTTGGTTGGTAGAGGTTCAACGAATCGGAACCCTTACCCCAAAAAGATGAAAAAGAATCGGCCCCCTCTGTTTGGTTGGCTGAGTTTCAAGGAAACGGCACCCTTACCCAAAAAAAGGAAAAATACTCGGCACCCTCTTTTTGGTTGGTTGAGTTTCAAGGATTCGGAACCCTTACCCAAAAAAAAGGAAAAAAAGAATCGGCCCCTCTGTTTGGTTCGGAACCCTTACCCAAAACAAAGGGAGAAACAAAATCGGCACCCATCTTTGTGTTGGTTGAGTTTAAAGGAATCAGAACCCTTACCAAAAAGAAAAGGTAGAAAAAAGGGCACCCCTTTTTTGGTTGGTTGAGTTTCAAGGAATCGGAACCCTCACCAAAAACAAAGGAAAAACGAATCAGCACCCCTTTTTTGGTTGAGTTGCAAGGAAACACCCTGTCCAAAAAAAAGTCGAAAAACAAGGGGGGGCGGAATCCACTGGTTGCAACTGGGTTGCGGTAGCGAGGATGCACTTGATGATGGTCTTCCGAAAGATGCCCTCGCGCGGAAGTCCGACACTTCCGCGGGAAGCGGAGGGCTTGAACCCCCCAAACCTTGAAACAAAAGCAAAAACCCATCTGTCAATTTCGAAGGGAAATTTATTGCATCGACCCCCTTCTGGTCTTTGAAAAAGAAAAAGAAAACGATGTACGAAGTTCCTTTTGCTTGTTGAAAGAGAAACGACTCCTTGCGGCTTGGCGTTTCGAAGTTGTCCAAACCCTTGTCAGCTTGGAGGCGTGATAAGGTGACGATATGTTCACTTGACAATGAACGCTTCAAGTTGGCCTGCGGTCGCGCGATCTATTGAGGCGCCCCCGCCTTCAAATTGGCCCAAAAAGTAAACCAGACAAGTTCTTTGCAGGACATCAATACGCGACGCGTATTAGCCAGAACTCGTGGTCGACTGTGAAGAAACTATCCACCGATACCACATGGGTGTTTCTCACAAAGGTCAAGACCCCTTCAATTGGGTGTCCGTTTGATTTCCCCTGAAGACTATGTGAAAAGGGAGCCCCTCATTTGAGACGCACCTCGCAAAGGCTTCACTTTCCATGAGAATTCGGAGTGCCCCGACTCTGCGAAGAAACTGCACATTGAACAAACCGCCGGTTGACAACAGCTGAGGGTGTCTCCTTTTCAGGGCACCGTTTTGGTTTTTGGGGGCCGTCCATCCAACCGGCAATTGGGCCATGAACAATGGTTGACAACAACTGGGGTGTACTTTTTGAGGGTGCAATTTGGGGACTGGTGAAAAAAGGAAGCCAAAGGCAAACAATTATCATTTTGCAGGTCCCCCCCTTTGCCACATACCTGTTGAATTGGGCTAGTGCCAAAGTACGCCAACCCTTTAAGCTGGTTGATCCTTTTGGCTTCCCCTTAACCAAGCTCAAGAGGGTACCAACCTCCAAAAAACACAACCCCAATTTACCATGAAAAGGCCACGTGGGTGTTTCGTTCCCCTCCCCCCCCAAAGAAAAAATGGAAAACAAATAACATGGGAAAAGAACGAGTGTTCCCTTTTGGCCTTTTGGTGTCTCATCCAAACCCAGCAGCCAAAAAACCACGCGGGGAGGCAAAAAAACAACCTTCATACCGTATCTCCACAAACAAATACTAAAAACAAATGGGAAAAAAGATGAAAAACACCGAACCAAAGCGTGAAGATCCCGCGTCCCCTTCTTTCTCCCTTTCCTCGCTTCCCCCATTCCTTTCACCCCCGGCCTGCTCCGCGGAGTCCATGCCTTGGGCGATGTTGGTGGCGCCGTCCCGTAGGATGGTGCACGCCACGGCCCTGGGCGAATTCGGCTCTTCGCCCCGACTTCGCGTGGGCTTCGGCGGGGCCGGAGTCGGCCGAGGCGGCGGATTTGTTCGGCGCAGAGAGGCGAGAAAAAGGACGGGAGGCGAGGGGAGAAAATGCGAGGTCTAGATCTAAAAATGGCTGGCTAAAACGAGGGAAAGTGGAAAAAATAACGTGGGCGGAAATGGCGACAAACATGCTGTTGGTGGATGTTTTCGGGTTTTTCGGAAATCTGCCGAGCGAGTCTCCCGGGAATACCCTCCCACCGACCATGGTTGGTGCACAGACCTCCGCAAAATAAAAACTCTTTCCTCTTGGGAAGTGGCTTGGTGAACTTCCTGGTGGGTCAATAACTAAAATGGCTACAGAACACATCCATCATCCATTTACTCTGAGGTTGCAAAGGCTAAACATGAGCAAACGGACCCCACGATTGATAAACAAAGCTGGAGCAAAGGTATCCAAACCACAAACTATATGCCTCAAACGTGATTCATTCATTCAGATCTGCAAACTGTTTAACTGACGATCTCTCCCTTCTGTCTCAAAGCCATCCTCTTTTGGGGTGGGATGACTCGGAATGACCCCGCCGACTCGATTTTTCTGGCTGTCGCCCGTTTGGGGCCCTTTGAACTGCCCTGCTGTTGTTTTCCTGTTGCCGCTATGCCTCATGGGCCAAAACTGGAGCATGCATCCGTTTTCGGGCGTCGCCCAAAACCAGGTGACAGCTTGGGTGAGTAACCAAGGGAAAAACAGGGATCCTTATATTATACACCTGAAGATTGCAACTTGTAAATGGTGGTCTCCCTTTTATTTCGGTGTTGAAAAAACCACATGCTTCAAATGGTGGCAACATGAACTTCTTTTCAGCAGCCCTGTTAAAATACCACCGCCGTTTTTTCTTTCCCCCGCCGCTTGCGCATCAGATCACCTCCGGCCCGACGGCGTGGGCCTCTCTTTGGAACCATCAGCTCGGTGTTTTTTCCCGGGGGCTCGCCCCTTGAAGCGAGGCGTCTCATTTCGTCCAGGGAACTGCAAATGGAAGGTGATAAGTTGCGCTTGACCAACGGAGGGTCCGGATTCAACTGCAGAGCTGGCTTTCAAGGTGTTTTTTAAGTCTTGGGCCCTGGGAACAAACTTGGTCTTGAAAAGAATCGCACGGGGAAGCCAATTGGCTGCAACCGAATCGGCCGGTAGGAGACATGAGGGTACCCACTTTGGGGCTTTGGGGGGGTTCAAGGGAAAACCTACAGGAAAACCGTATGGCCATGTTGGGGTCATTCAAAAAGGAACCACGCCCACATCCCAAAAGCCACCTTTGCAGTTGAATTCGGACCCTCATCCGTTGGTCAAACGCAATTTATCACCTTCCATTTGCTGAAGTTCCCTGGACAAAATGAGAAACTACTTCATTCCAGTGATAGCTTCCCTTTAACACAAGACAAAAATACCACATATTCATTCCAGCCAATGAAAGCTGGTCGCTGGTATCTTTGGGCCCCCTTTGGTCTAACGGTCAGTCGAGGGACGCATGGTGGTTCTCCAGCACCGAGACGTCGTTGTAGCGCAGCGCCAAGTCGTCCTGCTGCCTCGGCTTGCCGCTTGCCGGTTCTCAGATGGAATGAGACATGGAATGATCATCAACAATCGCCAGTTTGGTTTTTCTTTAAGGGGAATCCCCTAAAACCCGTTCATTCCCAACACCCGGTTTTGGTCATTCCCTGAGAACCAGCAAGTCAGCTTCCGAGTACCACCTGCAACAAACTTCTCAGTTGGGGGGGTAGCACGTCGATGGGACTTGAAGGAAAGCTCCAATGCGCAAAAACGATTGCCACGAGCGGGTTCTGCGCAGGAAACCGGTGCTCTGCGAAATTCGGAGCACTTTTTGCTTGAGTTCTGTCCATGCTGGACACAAACGCTGTCGCCCGGGAATCTGGCTTCACAGATGGACCCAAACGTGTTTGCTCTTGACAGTCTCAGGTCGCCTCCGTTTGATTTTAAACCAACCCCGAACCTAACGTGCTGTTTCAAATCACCCCGAATGAAATGCCGGGAACCCTGAAATATGGAATCTGCTCTTTGGCTGAAGTGAGACCGAAAACGAGTACCCTCCCCCCAACATGGAAACCCCCCCGCACGGACCTGTTTGGAAGACTTAGTTCCACTTGTAGAGGCCACTTGGGGCAGCGAATCCGGCTGGTAACTCGGCGGCCTTCCCAGCGCCGAGTGGGAGTCAAAAAAGGGCGACCCGCGTCTCTCCGCGCGATTCGGCGCGCGAAGCAAGACGCCGCCCGATCCCACGCCGCCGCCTTTTGTCAACTCAAAGGGAAGTCCAAACGAAACCCTCCCAGCCAGGAACAAGCTTTTCCTCAGGGGGGAATGGTTGGTGGCTTCTCCGTTTGGTAAACAAGTCAAGCAGGCCATACGGTGATACGGGTTCTTTTCGGCCAAGGCTCTTCATCAAGTAACTGTTGGTCACTCCTGGCCATGGCATTGGGCGGAAATTTGTCTGACTGCCTTTTCCGGGTGCAAATGGGTGGGGCTTCATTTAGGGGGGTTAAAGGTTAGCTCCCGTGAAAAAACACAAACAAACGGGGGTACCACCCTCGAAAAAAGACACGCCTAAAGGAATCCAGATCCGATCAAGGATCTGACGTTGGGAGGCTTTGGCAGGACCAGCTTCTTTTTGGGGAAGCCCGAAAGCGTAACCACTTCCGTGATTTCAAGGACGGCGTCTCATTTTCTAAACGCAATACAAGTGCCTAAATAACTGGAATGGGATTACGGGTTATAGGAATAGGGGCAAACTATTGGTAATTATCTCGTCCTTTGTATTAGCTCTCATTTGTCTGGTCCGAAAGGTTTTTTACGTTTGGGTCCATTGAAGTGACTCCGCCAAGCACCCGTACAGCTGGTGAGAAAACATCCCAAAAGAGATGGGTCTGTCTTTTGCAAGGGCTGAAACACGCTTTAAGTTCCTCTCGGCTTTTGTCCGGAAAGTCACAAGGAACCCTTTTTTGCCATTCGTGGGGGGCTCGGTTTCCATTCCGAGACATAACCAGTGTTGCGCCAAACGCTCACGAGCCGTTGGTCGATTCCCCAAAGGGTGCAGATGTTCTGCACGCGTTTTTGTTTGGGAGCTGGTCCCTTTGTGGTCTTTAATGCAAACCCAAGGAACGCCGAGGCCATTTTGAGGGGCGTCCCCTGCAAAAGACAAGTCCATATCTTCGAGCTACTTTGTCCCCCGCAAAGGTGAGCTCGCCAAAATACGGGGGGTATTTTTTAAGGGTACGCTTTTCACCTTTTAAAGGGACGCCCAAAAGGAGAACTCATTTTGGGTGTCCAAAGCACCTTTTGACCCCACAAGCAAGAAATCTGAGTTTGTCTTTGCGGACTCCCCCAAAATGGCTTCGGTTTTTGGTTGGCTTTTCTTTGAAACAAAAACAAGCACCAACTCCCAAAAAGCACACCCGTATATACCTCCAAATCAAAACACAAATCCCTGTGTTTCACCCATACCCAATATACATTTTTTAGCACATTCTGCCCACCCCTCAAAAATAATACCCACACCCAAAAAGCGCATGCTGCCGCCAACCACAAACCCCACAAAAAAGCCGCCCCCGCAACCCCCACCCGCGCCAAACCCCCCGGGTCTCCGGGGTGATCGATGTCGTGGCAAAGCGCCGCCACCAGCATGCCGAAGCCCTGCCGAAGGCGAACTCAAAGCGCTCTCGACCGCTCTCAGACCAATCGATTTACCAGGGTTCCAAGGGCAAATACCCTCCCACCAACTAACATGGAACCTGACGTTCGGGGGGGTCCTGGAAGACCATTTTCCTTTCAAAGGTGATGTTCAACCACCCAAAAAAAAAGCGCGCACCGCGCACACACACTCTCCTTTGCTAAGCTTCTGATTTGCCAGGGCAACCCATTTTGCCAGAAATGTTGGGTATATTCCCCAATTTTCCGGGGGCGTGAAAAACTTCCCTCGGACTCTACTCTGGGGTCCTTTGAGGGAGCCAAGGTGGTTTCTATTTCATTTCCCAATCAGAAGACCACGAAAGGGAGTCGTTTCCCATTTGCAGGCCTCTACAATGACCAGGGGTTGAAATCCCCAAAACCACCAAGCAAAACTCTACTCTGTGGTCCTTTGAGGGAGGCAAGGTGGTTTCTATCTACAATAACCAGGGGTTGAAATCCAACGTCCCAACCGCCAATCAAAACCACCAGCCTGACGGTACCTGATACCTTATCTCCCACTCCAGGGGCTGAACTGCCACTGCCCAAGGCCTGGGCCGAGTATTCGGACACTCGGCTCAGAAGTAAGAGTCCACCGCCCCACTTTTGGGGCTGCGCTTGGTTCCACGTGTTCATTTTTTGCAAGCCAAACATACAAAAACAAAAACACAAACATACAAAAACAAAAACACACAAACACACAAACACACAAACACACAAACACGCAAACACACACAAACACAAACACGCAAACACACACCCACGCACGCACGCACACAAGCACGCACGCACGCACGCACGCACCCACGCACGCACCCACGCACGCACCCACCCACCCACCCACCCAACCAACCACCCACCCACCCACCCACCCACCCACCCACCCACCCACCCACCCACCCACCCACCCACCCACCCACCCACCCACCCACCCACCCACCCACCCACCCACACGCACGCACGCACGCACGCACGCACGCACGCACGCACGCACGCACGCACGCACACACACACCCACACACACACACACACACCAATCCAAACCAAGCCAAAAACCAGAAAAAAACCACCAAAGCCACACACCCCAGACCCTCCCGCGAGTGCGGCTCCGCGAGTCAAAAATTGCGCCGGCGCCGGCGCCTGTGTGGCGGAGATCTTGCTGAACGTGTCCAGCACGCTCAGCTGATAAAAGCACATCCTCGGCCCGTGTTTCCCCCGCGTGGCTGATTTTTTTTCGTTGCGACTCGCTCAGTGCAACTAAGTGCACACAAAAGGGAAAAATGGAAAAAAGGCAATCGGCCGCTGGTTGGGAGATTGAGTGGGGAAAACTTGTTGGGTTTCAAGGAGTTCTTGTGGGAAACTCGGGTTCTGGAAAACCCCACCCCTTGTTCTTTCCCAGGTGTGACGAAGAAAAGAAGCGGCCGGGGCTGATTGAGGTTGTGGCAAGCATTCAGGTCCCGGGACCCCCTCTCAGTTAATTTTAGGTGGGAAGTCCATTTCTTGTGATACCACAGTGGAGTGACTGCTTCAGAGGAGCGGGTGAGTACAGTTTGCTGGCTCATTCATTTGAACGACGACCGCAGTTTATCTTTATTTTTCATGGCCCTGACTTTGATGGAGTCTTTTTGCGGCTTGTGTTTTGCTGGTACTGGACTCCCCTATGACATCTGGGTCCAGGTTGACATGCGCGGTACAGATCGAGGGGGCCGTGCATGCAGTACCATCTTTGGAAGCCTGATGGCTCCTTTAAAGGACCTTTCTCCATGTTTGCACAGTTTGCCTCCAAAAGCCAATGACATTGCATGTTTGAAAGCAGATCCGATCCATGCACATTCATTCACTGACGGCCTGTGCCGCATGCGGACACTAGGTGGATGTCCCTGGGGTAGGCTTGTCTTTGTTGCTCGTGTGCAACTTGCCTGTCTGGCTTGCGTCCGGCAGCGTGACGGCTGCAGCTAGTCGGGCCCCCCCGCTTAACGTTCGTAGCAGCAATGTCGTGGCCTTGTCCATCTTCGGTACCACAATACGCTCAACCGATGCCTTGGCCTCAACAGCATGTGGCCCCACAAGCCCAGTTCAGCCCTCAGTCGGGATGCGGATCATGGTCCTCCGGACAGTTTGCCCAGAACCAAATGAGCAGTTTCGGTGTGGTGCCTGGCCCGCCACCGGCAGGACCAATAGCTGCCCACTACTCTGACCCTTCTGAGCGCAGAAGCAACAGATCCCGTGCGCTGGAGCTGAGATGGGGAAAGCTGACTTCAATGCTTCGTTTTGGATTGCCTCTTGCGGCTCTCCTCTGATGACTTTGCTGACGTGTGGGTGGGCCTACCTCGTGAGCTCCGGGCGGTGGCATGGCGACCCCCGCCGGGCATCATCGTGGACATCGACTCCCTCAAGGGCCCTGAGCGCATGCAGATGTGTGCCAAACTCAACACGCTCCGCCGGGAGCGTTGCGTCAAGTTGGCCTCCCCGCACTTCGAGGACGAGAACTGGACCATCACGCCCATGTCGAGGCTTGTTTGTTCCCGTTTTTGGGAGTGCTTCCGCCTCATTCCCTTGGCTTCCCAACGAGTCCAAGTGGAAGGCTACGGTCAAGTACCTGTCCAAGTGCCCGGAAAAGCCGGATTCCCACGGCGATGCGTCCCGTCACATGGATCTCAGCACTCGGCCCTCGGACCCTTCTACTTCTACCCCTTCGTTGCCTACCACCGCGGCCCAGCATGATCGCCCGGACCGAGCGGCGACCCCCAAGAAAGGCTTTGCGGCTTTGAGCGCCCTGGCACGGGCATCTCCCGCGAAACCAGTTGTGTCTGGCCCACCGGCGCCTTCCGACCAGAACAGCAAGGAGTTCGTAGGATGGGTCGGACAGGATCACGGCTGACGCTGAAGGTCTCACCTTGGGGTCAAGCAGAGCAATCGCTTTCCATGCAAGCTCAAGCCCAGCGCTGCTTTGAAAACCTTGCCCCCGCTTGGGGTCATGAGCCCCGTCTACCAGCAGGCCTTCCAGCTCTACTTGCGCAAGTTCCAGGGACTCCTTGCTGTGTGACGCCCTCAACCTCGATGTGAATGGTAAAGATGCGCAGGTCCCCGAGATCCTGGCCCGCTTGCGGGCTACCGACATGGTCCAAGGGCCCCCTTGATGGGAGGAGTGTGAGGCTCAAGGTCGTTTGGCGAATGCGTGTGAGGCGGCTCTCTGCCTCATTGCGCTGCTGCGGTTTTGGGCTTTGGGCCTCACCAGAGGGAAGATGGCGGCTGACGAAACCTTTTCGCGGGTGGGGGCCAGTATCTGGCTCTGCTTGCTCCGGGGCCGATCCTCTCGGAGGTCTCTTTCTTTGCTGAACTCCTTGGGCGATGTGCCCTGGCATGGCAGTTGGGATTACTCTTGGCACTCACCCACTATTTATGCTTGCGTCCCAATTTTTCCAAAGTTCTCCTCTCTGGGACCCTTTGCCTACATCGGCGAGACCGACAACTTTGCCAGACGTGTGGCGGAGCATATGTCCAGATTGCTTTGCCCCCACGGCGCTGTACAGCAACCCTTTTTCCAGTTCGTCCGAGACGATGCCACCCGACCTGACCTTCTGCGAATGTCCGTGTGTGAATGGTTGTTTTTCCCTTTAGTGCACGCCCCCGGCGACAGCAGCGCCAGGAAGCTTTTGGAGAAGCAGACCGCTGCAAGGTAGCCGACGAGGATCTGCTTGTGGAATCTGCTGTGGTCGGCCTCAGTGACGCCTTGGGGGAGCTCCTGACCAAGAACCAGAACCGGCTACGCGCACCTGTCACGTGGGAACAGGTTGAAGCTGCCAGACTCTTCTTGCGCTCCTTTTTCGTGCAGGTGTTCGACCACAACTTGTGCAGGTTTGGGGCCTTCTGCCCCGCTTTGGTTCGCCTTCAGGCTTGCAGAGTCCTTGACTTCGGCGACCAGGCATCTGGCATGGATTTTGCGTGGGATGCTGGCAGGAACTATTCGGACGTTTTGACTTCCTTGGCCACTGTACAGCACCTCCCGTCGCACCTGCAGCCTGCAAGACTTTCCATCACGGCGACACGTTCCTGGTCCATAGGGCAGCCCATCATCTTGCCAATGTGGAAGGCTCCTGGCATCAAGTGGCGGCTGGTAGTCAACAAGCACAGCGCCCCGACCACTGGTTTGCACTGCGCGGTGTCCAAAGCTATCGATGTTGCGCTAAACCACATGCCGCGCGAGACTTGGGGGGATTTTTCTTCGAGCGTCTCTTTCCTTGACCTTGTTGCTGACTTCAACCAACGCGTGCAGGATAGGTTTGAGTCATGTTGCGTGTGGACAGAGGCAGCTGACATGGTTGACTGTTACCACCACCTTCCTTGCGACCAGGCCGCTAGTTTGGGACGCAGTGGCCACTTTCTTGTCGAACCGGGGTATCCATTTCATCAGCGTGCCTCGCCGGAAGGGCTTTGGTCTTGGAAGATTTGGACAATGCTTGGATGCTGGATGGGTTTGCTTCTCCCTCGACCAGATTCGGCTGGTCCTGCAGAATTTCGCGGCCACGAATTTCATTTCTTTGCCTGGCTACCTGGGCAGAGAGTTGAGGGGCGCTCCCATGGGTGACACTCTCAGCGGGGCAGTGCTACGCTTGTTCAAGTGGCGGCGTGAGTCCCTTTGTGCTTCCCACGAAGCAGCCGATACTGTTTCCTTTCCTGGCACGTGCTGCAAGCACGTTTTGGTGAAGGGTGTGAACATCCTCGTGCTGGATGTCAGTTACAGAGACGATATCCGTTTGCTTTGCGCTTGGGATTCTGCGGCCATTCTGGAGAAGCGTGAGGTTGCACGGTGGGCAGGCCTCCGTTTGCGAAGAAGATTCTGCGTTGGCACGATGCAATTGGAACCCTCCGAGCATCAATTGTTCATTGGCTTGAACACCTCTTGGTTTGGCACGAAGCTGATTGTGTGGCCATGTTTCCCAGATCCTTTGGGCAGCTTGACCTACGATATTCCTGACTTTAGGTCTCTGAAACCTTGGAACTCGTGGGTGCCTGCATCACAGAAGGCTGCTGCTATCAAAGGGTGGATGTGCAGAATTTGGTACCTTTCTAATTCGGCTGAAGTTCGACTAGTCGCATGGCATGAGCTGTTTTGCAGTTTGGGTTTGGCCGGTTTTCCACACTACTTTGTTGCAAGAATCGCCCGAAGGTGGGCAAGGACATGGACACCCAAATGCGGTGATTGGAGGGTCGGGGTTGCGCTTGATGAGATTAACAGAGTTCTCGGAGCTTCGGTTTAAAAACGTGCCTTCCCTTTGCTGCTTTGTGCTGAGGTAATCAGGGGCGGGTGAGTACAGTTTGCTGGCTCATTCATTTGAACGACGACCGCAGTTTATCTTTATTTTTCATGGCCCTGACTCTGATGGAGTCTTTTTGCGGCTTGTGTTTTGCTGGTACTGGACTCCCCTATGACATCTGGGTCCAGGTTGACATGCGCGGTACAGATCGAGGGGGCCGTGCATGCAGTACCATCTTTGGAAGCCTGATGGCTCCTTTAAAGGACCTTTCTCCATGTTTGCACAGTTTGCCTCCAAAAGCCAATGACTTTGCATGTTTGAAAGCAGATCCGATCCATGCACATTCAAACCCAATGGACCCCAAGATCCAAGTGATGCTTTGCGGCTGGGCAATGGGTCTTCTTGGATTCCAACAGGTTCCATGGCCAGCGGCTCTTAGGTCGGAGGCTTGGGGAGTTGAAGGGAAAACCACCGGGAAACAAAGGCGACCCATTGTGAGGCCTTGAGACAAACATGTAACCATGTCCAGGCACAAGCGTTTTACGAGGCGCACGTCATGGCGATCGACCTTCCAGCTTCCCTCTAATTGATGGTGTTTTAGGAGTGGTGGTTTGGAGGTTGGGGGTGGTCTTCCATTAAACATTACCAAGAACCAGGGGTTCACATCCCCAGTTCCCCCAAATCCAAACCACCAAAGGAGGGAACTTGAACAACCACCACAAACGGTGGCTGAGCAACTGCTGGAGACTTTGGAGCCACTGCCCGCTTTGGTTGATGAGGGGCTGCATGACGTCTCTTCTGCCCTGCAAAACGTTTAACTTGTTGTGGTTTAGTGCAAACTGACACTAAACCAACTGAAAAACCGAAAGACCCGCCAGGGTATGGCTGGGAACCACCAAGTTTTCGGATCCGCCAATTGACTTTCCTATTTCCTTTTGAAGCGCACCTGATGAACTGGCCATTGTCGCTCGAGTTTTGAAATTAGAGGAGCCAATGACCATCTCAGATGGGGATCGAATGGGGGGAATTCCCAAATCAATTCCAGGGCCGTTGTTCCTTGTTCTGGAAGAGAAGCGTCATCTTTCCAGGGTCCAGTTTAGACATTAGACAGAGATTAGCCGGGATCTCTGATATTTGGAGGACCCTCCAGCCTCTTGTTTGTGGTTTCAAAGAGAAACCAAAAAGAACACCGTGGCTCGGCTCGTCATTCTGCGGGTCCACCAACAAGACCCACACACACACACTCAGTGCCAAGGTCAAGCAAGGCAATGTTATCTGCGGCTATACTTCAAAAAACGTTTTTTCGCCTTGGATCCGGCGAACGTGTCTTCGAACCAAGTGGACCAATTTACAAGCCTTCGTTGGTTTGAGGCGACCGACCAAACGAGGCGCTGATAGACCCCGAAGCCGTGGTAGAAGTTGTGGAAGGGATTGGTCCCTGGCGATTTCTTTGGCTCACCGAGGGTGCCCCAGCAGAGAGATGGATCCCGTCCATTTTACAGAAAAAGATGGTCTTCCCCTCAGATGGGGTATCTCCATTGGGAATCGCGGGTGTCCCAAAGAGTTTGTTTTATCCCATGTTGGGAAAGCACGATTTCTAGACGCTGGGAGGTGTTCTTTTCCATGCGGGGATCCAAGTAAGATTTTGACAAAACACAACTCCCCTGAATCCGTCGAATGAATCCAGGGTCAGCACAAAATATGTGCACCAATGTAAAAAAAAGTCCATGGGTGAGCGTGCTTTAGCCAAATGTGTCTCTCCTGGCGGAAGCTTCGACCGCACAGAATTGTCCGGGTGTCTACAATCTGACCTTGGAATTGTTCCAAGTTTGGACGCACCGGACTTATCCGGGTAGAACAAAAACGAGCTTCGCATTGTCCATGCGCTCTGTGATCAGACAGATTCGGCATTGATAAGAAGGGCAGGCTACCCTACGTCCCCACCAAGGGGAACTCACATTGCAACTGCCCGAGAAGTGATGCTTTCAACCACGGAACGGGGATTGGACATTTGGGGAACCCGAAAACAAAGCTGCCCCTGCTTGGTTTTGAACGAACAGCCAAACAATTACTTTGTTTGTGCTGCTCAGATTCTGGATTGACAACCTTGTTGATAAGTCAGCTATTCTCAACATGTTCCTTCCCCAACAGTTGAAAGCTATTGGGGTCTTTGCCCAGATAGGCGCTGGGTGGTTTGGGGCAGCTTTTAGGAAGGGTTCTTGAGGGTTCCAGGGCATCAAAGCGTTGCCGCTATGTTTCCGCGCTGTAAATGGCACTTGGAACCTGAGTGAACGTTCAGTGCCAGCTTCGTTCATTTTTCTGCCAAGACACATCTGGAATAAGACTTGTCTGGTGTACATGGGATGTCTAGGAGGGCCCCCCACTGCAAGATGCCAAATCCAAAACAGCAAAGACACGAAAAGCTCCACCAAAAACGGCAAAATCCAAAAAACACTAAGAACAGCGGAAACGAAAACAACTCCCTGAGTGCAGGGGCGCCGTTAAATCGTTTCCCCAGCCGAAGCCCACTGGACATGCCGAGGGGCGGTAGCCCTGGTGCACCGTGCTGGCCCATGCGCCCAGCTTTTCCTCCTGGATCTTGCAGGCATCGATGCCTCAGGTGGCTGTGGTTGTCAAAACCAAAGGGCAGCTGGAAAGGACTTTTCACTTTTTGGCATCCACTGTCAAATACTATTTTTGGACACACCCTGCTGAATACAAATAAACAGGCTAGTCATTGATCTGGAAGATCACGCAAATCCAATGACACCATGAGGCGGGTCGCAAACAAATTGCCGCACTTGGAACTAAGGTCCTAATCTCACGTCCTGGAAAGACTGGCAGCACTACCACCAACATGGCCTTCCAAAGTCGAAAGTCCAGAAACCGAGGGAAAGAGGTATGGATCTTGCTTCATCGGGCCACGTCACTTCAAGGCTGCTTCTTTGCTGGCAAAAACCTATTCCAGGACGGGAAAACAAAGGCTCGGCCGATTTGGAAAGAATCCGGTGAGTTCCACATGAACCATCTCCGGGCATTTAGACCGTATTAGAGACCAAGCATATGGAAGTCTGGGTGTGTCTCTTTTTGAGGGTACCTCTTTTTTTGGTGGTTCTAAAGGGGAAACCAACACTCTTCCTGAGTGGATTGGTCAAACAAAGTCTGAACTTTCATTTGCCATCAAAATGGTCCAGCCCCAAAAAGTGGCTGATTTCCGAAACGGAACTCCGGGAGTGAGCCAAAATGACCACCCGAAGCCATGTTGGGTCTCGGGTCCCGGTTGGAGGGAGCGGTTGCCAAGCTGCTACCAGCGTGTCTCAGAATGTCAGGCACCTCGGGAGGAATATCAACCAGCTTTGTTTTTCCCTGGGCAGGGCTCCCTGGTTGACGTGTTTCCTTTTTCACTAGCCCAAGGGTGGTTTCCTAACGAGTCGTTTCCATCCAACGGGTGGTTCCTCTAACCCTAAGGCTCCCAATGATTTTTGGGCCTTGATGGGTTGTTTGCAAGGGTCTGGGCTTGCATTGAAGGGGTCATGAGCCTTAGGGCAGCTTTGGACAGGGTTCCCTGCATAGGTGCCCGAAGCTGGAAAAATCGATAAGTTTCCCTGGTCAATGGGGCCAAAAAAACCGATCTAAACCAGTGCCATCTATGTCTACTGGAACAAAAGTCCTGCAGCGGAGGGACGTGGGTTATCCCGTTGTTTGCAGGGCTTCAGCCATCGGGGCTCCCTGGCTTCTCCTTCCCTTTTTTTACAGGGGCTCAGTCATCCCAGCTGCTTTATCCATTTTTTTCCAGGGGTTCAGGCGGTGGATGACAAAATGTCCGGCCACAATCGGGAGGGGGGGAACGGAGGGAACAGCCCCACTGCATCAGGCCATTGTTTTTAGGGTGTCAATCATCCCACCTGACTCGAAGCGGATGTTGGACAACTAGAAACGGGCTCCCTGGTAAATGGGGCATGAAACCAAGCTAAGACCATGGCCTTCCTTTGTTTCCCAAGGCATCAGCGAGTGAAAGTCACCTTTCCGCCAAACAAAAAAAACGAAAACCACCGAGAAAGGGCCACCAGGTCATTCTAAGCCCACCAAAAAGTTGGCAATACTGTGGATGGACGAAATCCTGCACCACTTCGAACCCATGGGACAGCATTGTTTGCTGGTAATATTTTTCCTTAGGTGGTGCAGGATTTCGTCCATCCACAGTAGGACCCTTGCCGAACCTCTGGGGCTTCTCCAAAATTGCGTCTCCCCGAACAGGCCATCTGCCAAAAGGTCGCGCCGGGGTGATTCAAATGGCCAGTGGTGGGTGCTCAATGAGGAAACACCATATGGATCCGCAGGCCCATAGGATTGAGCCTTAACTTGGGACCCTGACATGTGGACATTCGGGATTGCCCACCACATAGCGGGGGTCCATCTCTTTAAAACTTTAAAACTCATTCGGCGGATGGGGGAGGGGAGGGACATCGGGGAAAGTGGGTCCAGTCTTGGGAACATAGCCGCCGCACTGGGATCAGGCCAGAGGGTCTTTCTGTGCAGCTTTGGCGATTCACCTGCCACAACTTCCTTGATTTCCGATCTTTTTAGTGGTTCTAGGGGTTGATTCCCCATTATTTTTCAGCCATCGTTCTTTTCAAAAACCAGCCATTTCCCAAGGGTGTTTGGTGTTTTTTTCAGAAAGAAGGATCCGTGAAAAGAATGGAAAGCTGCCCCTGGAGTGGTTGTTCCAAAGCTTCAAAGTCAAACATGTTCGAGTGCTGATCTTGTTGGTGCCCCAAGTTCTCTCGCACTCTTGCCGATGTTCTAATCACAGTTGATTCGTGCTATGGTGAATACAGGGTTCCCTGCATTTCCTCATTTGAATCTTACCCACCAAAAGGAAACGCACTTTACAATGGCGCATAATTTGTAATGTAACACCACCCACAAAGGGGGGAAATATGTGTGTGCCTTTTTTGAAGACCCCCTAAATGGTAGCTTGTCTTTTGGCTTCAAAAAGACGTGCCACCAACTATGTAGAGAACCCTGGGACATACTGCCCGCGAGCAACCACTTCACGGCTGCCCCAGTGCCGTGAAAGTTGGAAAAACCAAGCAAGCCCCGCGCTGGGTGTCGAGTTTTAGCCTCGACATCCGTGATACCAAAAATAGACTTTTAATTCCCGTGACTTTATCGCTTTACAGGGACCTCGGAAACAACACAAAACAGCTCGCCAACTTGAGATCAGTGTTCCCGGCACGTGGTTTCGGGCTTTGCTGTTCTGAGGACCCTGCTTTACAAATGAGATTCCCGTGGTGCAGAAACATGCAAATCCATCCCCTCGCCGCCTATCGGTCAGGTTGTTGGAACATGGTTGATCCACAAGGAGGGCCTTAGGCAAAGGGCAACCTCCTTCCTGGTGGATCACTCCATCCAAGTGAACAACAACCCAAACCCCCGTGGCGCAAGATTCTGTCCATCCACAGTATGGACCAAATCAGGGAAACCAAAAGGTCACAAAAACCCAAGGACTAAAGTCCCCAAACTTTAAGGACCTGGAAATAAAGGCTTAACCTTCTGGAACCTATGACCAAAGAGAAACCCGGTCAAATGGCCTTGGGTCAAAATCCCGTACCCACAGTGAACATCCCAATCCCCACTAAAATAGGTTCTAAAATGGGTGGTGCACCTACCCCAAAATGGGATCTTATTGGTTTTGACAACCACAGCCAAATGGATTCGTTGGACAGGCGCTAGCTCCTCGAGGAAGCTCTCACGCTGTTCGAGGACGTCGAAGTTCAGGGACACCAAGTCGTCCACAGACCTCCGGAGACATCCAGAAATGAGGAATGAGACCTTCGGTGAGACCGAAGAAATCTGGGAAGAAATTGTCTCCCAGGAGGACAGCCAAGTTTACGCCCTTTCGCACCACTTTGAAACCATGGTTGAAACCATAAGGTTTGTTGGTATTTGAAGGGGAATCATCATTCCATCCACAGTATGGGTATTGATTGCCCAACCATTTTGAGGCAGACCCTTTGCATCAATTGTGTCAACTTGCAACCGCTTCACCCCAAGGCCTAGCGCCTTTCCTTGGTCTGGGAGTGGAACCTGGACTGCCCCAAGAAAGCTGTCCCTTTGATCCCTTTAAGGAAGTTGAAGGGTTGAGTGGGTCAGGTTGGTTTTTGTTTCTTCTTCTTTTCTTCGAACCCCTTTTTGGTCCACAAAGGGAAACCAAAGCACAACCTGCCCCCAACAAAAAGAGCAACCTGAACGGCTGAAAGTTGCCGGCGGAAAACGGGAAAACATTCTCTGAGTCGGGTTTAGCTCACACGCCAAGCTGAAAAGGGTTCAGCACGGCCGTCGGCCCCAAAAAAACGGACTCTCGCACATGCCGCCTGCAGGGGTTGAGTGCAAAACCGCGGCGACAGCGAGCAGTTGAATTGTCTTCCCGTGAAATTGTCCGTTTGAGCGGCGATGGGATCTCGAAAGAAGTTGTTCAACAATCAGGCATTCTGTGTAACACTCTTAGGTACATGACCTTCCTTGCCCTACAAGCCCCTGACTAGATTTACCGTCCAGAACTTCTTCATCCAGAAAGAAGCCCTCAATTCTACTAACCCACGCCAGTCCCGAGAAACTCGACGAGCCATGCATCAAACCCTGCCTAAGGCTTTGAGCAGGATTACCCAAAACCTGAAATGGGGCGACCCCGCTTCTTCTCTCCAAAGGTGGAAGTACATAATCCTTGTGCATACCCCTTGGCTCCCCTGTTATCCACCCACTTTAGGAGTCGAATATGCCCCTTTTGGGGAGAGGGGTATGAACATCAGATTCGTTTGCCCCAGGATGTGTAAAAGGGGTATGTACAAGCACCCCTGGATTTTACCCGCGAATCGGTAAAATCGCTGGTAGATGATTGACTGCATTGACGAAGGTTCGTGTTTGTTCTTGCTGTGGGTACTCTCTTCACCCTTTTAAAGGGAAACCAAAAGGAACCCACCAATTTGGGGTACCCCCTATTTTGACACACCGCAAGGGTCCCCAACTCAAATCATGTTTGACCGCCTGAAAGATTCGTCTCTTATTCTAGAGTTGATATTTGCGCTTGGCTATCTGGGTACACAGAAAATCCCATGTTCTGACTGACGCTGTTCCATGTTTAGTCCACCCTAATATTATCAAATTATCACATTTGGGTGTTCTGGGTGTTTCTCAAAAATTCGAACAACCACTCCAGGCGCTGCTTCCCTTTCGTTTCCCTTCACCATCCAAGGCTCAAGCTCCGTTTTCTTTCAGAACCCCCCCCCCCCCCGAATTTCCCCGCCCCACAGAGTTGTGTTTTTTTTCAGACCCGCGTTCAGGGGAGACCTGCGGATCCGCCCACTCCCCCCAGACCCCCCAAAAAACCAGCAAAAAAAAACACAGAAAAGCAAGAAATAGAAAAAAAACCAGCAAAAACAGGGGAAAAAAAGGAAGAACAAGAGAAGAAGAATAAAAATATTAAAGAAAAACGCGAGTCCGAGTCGGCCGAGTCGGCCAAGGCGCAGCGGGGAGTGCGCCCGCAGGAAGGGCTGGCGGCTCAAGGACCGCAAGATCTCCGGCGGCGAGCTCCTCGCCAAGAGCCATGGGCTGAACCCGCGGCTCGGTCTTGCCGCCCCCCGAAAGCCGCAGGTCTGTACTCCAAACACCACACACAAAGCAAATATAATATATGTATGTATATATATATATGTATACGTATGTATTTTTTTTGGGGGGGGCTACATAATTACAGAAAGAACACCCCATAGATTTGTCCGTGTCCTCATCTTTGTGTACTCCCAGGGCTAGATACTTACACACACATTATGCACCTATCATGAAGCATGGCTTAAAAGTACCCCACAAACCCCACTATTGCACCATCAACATCCAATCGGGAAACCGAGAAGTAACCCAACTTGGAGGCTTCCGCTTGGGCTGCCAACTCTTTCGGCACCTCGTACATTTTCTCGCCGTGCCCAAGAAAAGTCCAAACTGTCTTAAACCCTGGAAGTGACGAAACAAAAACTCGTTAGACCCTTTCCGGTTTCCAACCATGGCATAACCAGCCCGCTTCAAACATACTAATGTGTTTGTTGGTTTCCCTGTCCGCGATGTTTCGTTGCCCAACCGGTTTTGACAAATGGTGAGAATCATCAACACATCCCCCCAAAGAGCCGACCAGTCCAGCAGCGTAGAAATCGGCAAGGGGCAAATCCTCAAAACAACCCCTCAGAACCAAAAACAACACACAACCTCAAAACAAGAAACAAAGCAAAGGCCACTAAAACAAGACACCTCCCTCACGCCCCCTTGAAGCCTTTGAGGCAGGTTTGAATCAAAAGTTTGGCAAGGAAAACCTGAAACCTTAGAACACTCCTTGTGCACGTTGGATGCTTAATGGGATGATTCCTTAAAGAGGCTTGGGGATGCATTCCGCGATGTGGCTTTTGTTTGTCATGAATGCATGCTCGGAGCAATTGGGGCTCAAGTGTTCTCTGGAGTGGAAGATCTCTACCTGCAGGAAAATACCCTCCTGTGCTTACGCTCAAAGAGGGACAAACATTCCTGCAAATGCAGTCAGGCCGCCTCTAGCAACAAGGGACCCGTTTAGGGAATGGACACCATGGGTATGACTCAAGCCATGTGGATCCTTCTTTGCTGGAAGGCAAAAGGGAAGCCTTGGATGTCAACTCATTACATACCTTGCAGTGCACACCGGAAAATATGGGAAGTCTCCTTCGTGTTCTGGAATTCCAGACTCGGTGGGCTATTTCTTTTTTTGGGGGGGTCTCATTTGGGACCATTCACTTTTTTGGGAAAACACCCCACGAAATCTGCCAGGTACTTGACTCCGGGGTCTCCGTGCAATACTGCATGCAACCAAGCAGAAACCAACAGCAAACAAACCTCCAGACTTTGATCTGCGAACAGCCAACTGCTTCCTTGTTAGGGAAAATGGAGGAAGCCAATAGCAAGAGTTACCGGGTGCCGCCCTTCTTTGGGAGGGAGGTGGGTCCCCTATTCCTATTTCGACACGTGCTGTGTCAAAGAAATGAGCAACCATGGGCGGCTTCCAAACTTCAAGCCCCTTTAAAAAAACCCAAAAACACAAACTTCCCAACTTCAAGCACAACAAAACAACTTCCCAACTTCAAGCCTTCTTAAACAACCAAGAACAAAATAACAGGACGCCAACTCCAAAAAAAAACACGAGCCGCTCCATTCCGCCAAGCCGAGTGCCCGGCATCGCCGGGGTGCGGCTGCTCTGGCTGCTGCCCACCCTCGGGCTCGTTTTTGGCTCGACGCGACGACGATCGACCGCTGGGTCGGCGCGGGGAGTCGAGGGGTCTGAGGGTCTGGGCGGTTTGATTTCTCGGGGAGCGAAATGGATGGGTTGCACCGATCCTAGGCCCTCCAGTGAGGTTAGAATGAGGAGGATAGGTGGCCGATGGGGGGGTGGGTATCGTAGAATTGGGGGGAAACCCGGGCGGTTTACCTAGGTCCTCCAGTAGAGAGAGGTTAGAATAAGATGGTTCCCTGTCTTTTTTCGGTAGTCCATTTCGGAGGGGAACCCTCCCCCCGAAAAAGAGTTGAGGTAAAAGTTGGCAGCGGGGATAAAATCCGTTCAAGCCCGAGGCTCTGAGCTTCAATCCTAGTGAGACACATATCCTATAGGTCCAAAATACCCAAAGGCTGAGTGAGAAAACCGATCCTTTCAGAGGTCAACATGTTTATCCTTTCAGCTTCCTTCGATCTTCGAAGACCAGGGGCTTACCCTCTGGATGACCATTTCGGTGAGACTTGTTGCTTTCAAAGGTGCACCAAAGGGGGCTGTGTTGTCCATGGGTTTCGGTTACACCTCGCATGAATTCAAAGCCGCTCAAGCTGCTGGTGTTTTTTTGGTCCAGCTCCAGCTCCTGATAGAGGCGCCTTTGTCTGTTCCTTCGTGGCTTGGCATCATCTCAACAAGACTCGCGACTTGCAGTTGGAATCCGACGGGAAAGCCAATTCGCGCCTTGGGTTGAGAGTTGTCTTTGCCGTCCCGCGCTCACTCGGTCCAGCAACTCTCTACTCGGTGCAGAGCTGCTTCCAAGGGCAAGCAAAACAAGGACTTAGCCTTTTTCCAGTAAGCTAACGGCTTGCTTGAGCTTGAGTGGATAGGCCAGAAAAAACTTGTGTTTATCACTAAAAAGGTCCAAACCCAAACAATGTTTATTTCTGACGGGAGGGCGATTCTAATGCGGCAACACTCCAGACTCCCACAACATGAGGCCCCTTCGGCCGCCAAATCTCCGGCTTCCTCGCCGACAGGAGACTCATTCAAATGTGAGACCATTCAACTAGCACTTGACATTTGAACTCATGGCACTTTTAAGGAATAACATTGAGATCCCAAAAAAACTCCGGAAACTGAATTAAGGGATCCGAGTAAAACATTATCATGGTGAGCCGTTCTCCCCCCCAGGTGAGCTCGGGGTAAAAAACTTGGCAGAAAAACAATCACCTTTGCGAACGGAATTCAGGGGTCGAAAAACTGTCCAAGGAATTGGGCACTAGAAACCCGATACCCACCGAGAACGGCTTTTGTTCAGTTGTGGGGCTTGATCAATCTTTCTGGCTTTCCCGAAGATGGCAAACTTTTCCCAAACTGAATCAAATATGTCTAGGTTGTTGCAATACGGCCATCCTATGGTTTCACGGACCTTTTGAATGAACGCGAATGCGAATCACTGATGTTGAACGGCCGACTGGGCTTGCCGTGCCAAGCTGCGTGCGCTCCCTGTGCTGGTTCAGCACCGCAGCCACTTCGGTGTCGTTATTCTCCTCGGCGCGGCCCCAGTTTTGGTGGTGGTGGCTTGGTTTAAGGGGGGGGGGTTCCCAGGCCAAATCCTCACTGCCGGAGGATTGCCTGACGCCATGAGAGGAGCATGGGCGAAAAGGCAGATAAAACATCACATCACCTTATCCCATTGAAACGCATGTGACAGCATGTGTGGGGAATCAACCAAACCAATCGGGCAATGAGCAAAGCCGACTGAACACGAGACGAGGCGTTTTTATTCTGCAGGGGGGGGGGTTAAGGGTTAGGGCGGGTTCAGGGGTGGGTTTGAGATTGTATTTGGGCGGCTTTGAGGGTGGGTTGAGGGTGGGTTGAGGGTGGGTTGAGGGTGGGTTGCGGGGGTGACTTGAAGCTCGGTTGGGAAAGACTTAGGCTGACACCGAGTTGGCTCGCGGTGTGAGGGTTGATGAAGGATGCGATCGCCTGGGTTTAGGTTCGACTCCATTCACATGAATGCTCCCCGCGAAATGCCAAACATGACAATGCATCAGGGGTCAAGAACGTAAAATTGTCAGTTTGACAGTTGACAGGTTGATAAACGTATGGAACAAGTTTATGCAATCCATAAGCTGATGAGACGAGTTGATGAATCCAGTGAAGTTTATAAAATGAGTTGAAGTTGAAGGTCATACATTTGATGAACAAAGTTGATCATGCTTGTACACATGACAGGTGCATGCTGAGCGGGGGTTGCAACCGTTGCCACCTGCGGCGCGGGATCGAATCTCCTTCAAGGAATGTTGGCATCAGAGTGGCATTAAGACAACCGCAGCAAGGAATGTTGCGGAGGAGTTGAATCTCAAAACCGCACAGTGACGTCATGGAGGCCCGTCTGGGTTTTGTCTCGGCCAATTGACAGTCGAGGGCTCCAAACTGGGTGTCGTTTTTTGGAGTTGGTAACCCCATTTTGTGGTTTTAGAGGGAAACAGGAGGAATACCAAACCGCTTTGCCATTTTGCCAGGGCCCAACCCCAAAAAGGCGAGCCAGCCCCAACTGAAAATCCTCGCCGCTCTCGGCTGAATGCGGCCGAAGAGGCGAAGACGCTCTCTAGAGCCTTCCAGCGCTGGCGGTAGAAGGAGTCTCCAACCACCATCCTCGGTCAAAAGATCCGAACGACATCAGCTATCACTTGGTTGCTGGTTTGGTGGTCCCAGGTGGCTTCTGATTTACTCTCTAAACAAGGGGTTCACATCCATAGAGTTACCTGACAAAACTTGGTTGCTGTAACGACCCCTCTGCAAGTGTTCAACTTTTTCGTGGAACTCAATAGACGTCCACCAAATAGTTGAGCTCTCCAAGATCCCAACCCAATAGCAATCAAGATCAGTTATCACGTATCAGACTTTCCCGAATCCATTGGCTTTCGTGAGCCCGGAGGTGTGAAGGGGTGGTTTCTCGTTTCCCATCCCTCCACAAGAAGGCGTTCAAATTTTCCAGAATCCAAATCGCTTGAGGGCAATCGCCAACTCAGCCCTTACCATTCGACCTCGGCGTGTGAGCACATGGTGGGACGAGTTGACGCCAGCAACACAGCCTCCCAAACTCGAGAAATTGGATGAGCAGAAACGAGATCGATCCGTCCGCTTTTTTCAAAAAAGAACAGCCTCACACTTCTCAACACATGGGAATAATCACGTCGAATCCGCCAGATTCCTTTTAAAGAAAAGGGATCCGGTTTGGTCACTGCATGCCATCGGGCCGAAAGCTTACCATCCACACCTTCCGAGCCCGAAGCTCGATGGACCGACTTGAACCTTCGTTTCCCAACGGCGCGCCATCTTGGGCGAAAAACCTCCCCCCCAAAAAAACCTGTGCTTCCTCCTTGTGCTGGTCCTACAAAACGTGTCACCAGAAACAAAGAAGAAAACAAATCATTTCACCAGAAACCGTTGTTGGTCATACCAAACATTTCACCAGCAAAAAGAAACACGGAAAGTTAAAAACAGAACACAAGCAAATAATACACAAAAACTGGCAGCGCCGACCGGCCGCAGGGATCGGCAATATCTATATCTATATATATATATATATATATATATGTTTTTTTCATCCCGGGCGACGCTTCGTTTCGGATTCCGGATCGTTGGCTGAGGGGCGTGATCTTCTGCAGCTCCTCCAGGTCCGCCTCGGAGAAGGCCCCCGAGGAGTTCCGCTTGTTCAGCACCTGCCGAGGGGCGAGTCTCTCCCGCTCCGGCCGCCGGCTGGGGGCTGTGGCAGGGGGGCGGGGTGAGCCGAATCTACAACGGGCACGGGGCACTGGATGTGGGGGGCAGAAAGGCACTAGCTTTGGGCTCGGGCACTTAAATGTGAGTCCACTTGGAAACAATGAGAGTTCTTTGAGTTCAAATCATCGAAATTGGGGAAGTTGCGTCCCGAGCAGAAACTGTGGCTTTCGGCACATTTGGGACCTCAAATCATGAAGCGCACTGTGGCATGATTTGCTTGCGCACGGCTTATGTGACTTTCACATATCCCATGCGACATGCTCATGATCTGTGCGGCATGTGCTTAGCATGTGCATGTTGCCTTGCGTACATTGCGTTTGGCTCATGCATACGGGCTGGCTTCTTTCTCCACTGTGCGTGCTCTTTCATGTGCTGTGTTTGCACGCGGTCATGCTTGTTTCCACAAGCCCCCAGGGTTGTCTCTGTTAGGGACTTCAAAAAGAAACGTTGGTTTGGTCGCTCCCTCCGCCATTTCAAGCGGCGTTTTGCATTAGGCCGGCCTGGATCACGCCGATGGTCTTTTCATGGTTCATGGTGCCTCGGGGTGGAGTTGGCCGCCCTTAACGGATTTCCACCACGCAAGTTGCAGGAAACTCTCCACCCCACACAAAACAGAAAACTAGATTTCCAGCAGCCGAGTTGAAGGGAAACTCACTTTGGGCTGAAAAGGCGATGTTGAAAGCTGTCGCAACTCAATCTGCCAAAAGCAAACACGTCAGCCACTCTAATCTTGACCCCGGATTTAGAGCGACCCCTGTTTATTAATATGGGGTGTCCCTGGTTTTAGTGGGGATTCAGACCACTTTTGGAGGGGCCCCACCACCATATTAATAAACAGGGGTTTATCAGGGATCCTTACATTATACACCTGAACATTGCAACTTGTAAATGGTGACTTCCCTCTATTTTTGCGGAATGAAAAAGCCACATGTTTCAAATGGTGGCAAAATGAATTTCTTTTAAGGAGCCCTGGATTAATACACCCCAGTTTGCTAATATGTGGTGTGCCTGGTTTTAGTGCGAGATTCAAACCACTTTTGGAGGGGCCCCCCCCATAAACAGGGGTCGCTCTGAATCCGTGGTCAACATGGAAACCTGCGCTCCTCTGGCCTCAAGGCAAGGAAGATCCCTTCCCAAAATTGATCACAGGCCGGACGTACCCCTTCGTTGAAGGGAAAACCGCCAGACAACCCCTTGCTCGCCATTTTTTTGGGGGGGGTCCTCAAGTCCACTAAAAAGACAAACCCGTATTGACCGAACTTCGTTTATGCCAAGAACCGAAAGGCAGAGACGCCCTGTCGAGTCAATCAAATAATAACTGCCGTTCCGCATCCAAATTTTGCTGGGAAGGGACTCCCAATGAGTCTATGGTTTCCATCCCCACTCCCAGAAAGAACAAATCATATGTACACAAATTTGATGTAATAGTATTACATATATGGCCATGGGTCAAAATCCAAATCGTACCCCCAGTGAACATCAACCAATCCCCACTCACCTACCATCCAAAATGGGATCCCATTGATTTTTTAGAACTACAGCCATATAGAGATATCTATCTATCGTTAAACACTCCAAAGCCATGAAGCGTTTGTGAACGTGAATTGCATCAGCCGGGAATCGAGCCCGGGTCACCTGTTTGGGGCCTCTGTCTCCCTTCGGCCCAGTCTGGGGCTGTGGGCTCTTTAACGGCAGCGAGATGAGGCCTTTCACCTCGGGCGACGAACTGGAAACTTCGCACCAGGGTCCTGGATTTTGGCTTCGGTGCCAATGTCAAAACCACTTGGCCATGGGTCAAAACCCATAAGTACAACCAGTGAACATCCCAACCCCCACTAAAATAGGCTCTAACCATAATGGTTTTGACCACCACAACCACCTTGTTTTGAGACCCCTAAGGCAAGTACGGAGACCCCCAGATTCTGCATACCAAGCCCCAGGGCCCTTAAGCCAAAACCGTTCCAGCTTCCCTCGGAGCGAGTCGAATCGATAAGTCCCGTGTTTCCCCTCAACGAAAGCCAGGGCTTCAAATCCAAATCCAAACCACCAGTAAGAACCGCCCTGATGGGTGACCTGATGGATGGTGCACGGAGAATCAACGCCGGATTTCGGACCGGACTTTTTGGAGGCAGGGAACTTCAAGGAACACCCCCTTCCCAAAAACTTGAAAGCAACAGAGTCATTATCCTTGGTATCGTCAATGCCCTTCTTAAATCAGGGAAACTTTGCAAACTCCCCCTATGGTTTGTGGTTGGTGTACTTGCAATATTAAAGGCACCCGCCGTGCTCTTTGACGAAGGTTTCCTGAAGAAATGGCGCGGAGTCCAAGGCTTGAGTCCGCTTGCGTTCGCGAAGCAATCGGTTCTCTGTGGTTTGCTTTTGGTCATTCAACAACCAAAAAGGGGTCCCCAGTTTGAGAAGAGATGTGTCTCACAATGGAGGGGACGTGTTTCCCCTTCAACTTCTTCTGCATTTCAAGAGAAGGGAATGACCCCTAAAAACCATCCCTTGTGGTCTAAGGGAACTGTTTTTTTCCCTACCCTGAAGGGTCCTTCCTTACTGAGAACCAGCAAGCCTTCGGCGTGATCAGCGCATCTCCATGTGAAAAAAAGGGGGCACCTCTTCTTTCAACTTTTAACCCCCCCATTTAGCAACAAGAACCAGGGTTCCCCGTCCAAATCCAAATCCAAACCACTGAGACAGCTGATACCAGGTCTAGTTCTTCAGTGCCCCTTCCCACTGCTTGGGTGGCTTCTCCAAAGCTCCGGAGGAGTCTCTGGACGACTCGGACCGCTTTTCAAAATTGGATGGCTTCGGAGCCCGAAAGAATCGAAGAGATCATGGCCATAGGTGTCCTCTTGGGGCAAATAGATGGTTTTTTTTCTGGTAGATGATGAAACCACCAGGCAAACCAGGAATCGCCATCTATTGTTCGACCAAAACAACCACAAAGGACACCCATGAACATGGCTGTCCCTTTTCAGCCAACCTGAAAAGGTACCTTCGCCTACAAACAACTCGCACCCATCTTGAGAACTATGGCCCCTGGCCACATAGCCGGTCTTCTTCTCGATCTCCGGGTCAAAGGCGGGATGGCTGTGCGCATCTGCCCGGAAACCCCCCCCCCCCCCCGTGCCATGTACGAGGTTTGCCTCTAACCGGCCCGGTGTTGGCCCACGGATTCACGCTGCATCCAGGGACTCCCAAGCTGTGCCCCCCCCCCCGCCCCCCAACACTCCCAAGCGCGTCCAACGAATGAGTACATGAATACATGAGTGTTGACCGTAGTTGCCATACGACTTTTGAGACCTGCGTACCCTGTGGAGGGGATGGCATACATGAACAGCGTCGTCTCCTTATGTGAGGCTTGGCGAAAAAACAACAAAACATGTCGCGCGCGAATTCCAAATTGTCCCCCTCACGGAGTTTGAAGGCGCCGAATCGATCATTCAGAGAACCTACGTTTGGGTGTTGCTTTTAAGGATATCCCTGTTTCGAGTGGTGTTAAAGGAAAGCCGCAAGGAACGCCACCATTTTAGGGGATCCCCTAAAAAATCAGGATACACTTATTTGGGTTTTTCTTGCCGCTCCGGAGTCGGCAGTGGGGAAGGATTGGTTTCAAGGCGCTTGAGTGGGGCCATGTCCGTTATCCTGTGTATTTTGTCGCGAACTTCTGTGGATTGGCAACCAAACTTCTTTGCCACTAAAATGGTCCAGCTTCCCAACACCTGACTAAAGTCTGAAACGCAACTCAGGAAGTTAGAGAAAGACGCGCGGCTCTGGACTGCTCTGAACCGAATGCCACGTGCCCAAGGTTCTACTTCTGGACCTGAAAAGGTTTCAGGGTTCCATGTTCTTGCTTGGTTCCATGTACCCCGTTGTTCGGGAGGTTCAGGTTTCCTGTTTGGGTAAGATACCCTGAACATCAGAGAAGAAAGCCCAACAACATCCATGCCAGATGCAAGGAGAGGACTCTTCTGGGATCGGCTTCCTTTCCATTCCCGAGCTGTCAAATTTAGAACTATTTGCTCCTTTCTTCTTTTTCGGATCCATTCAGCACCAAAAAAAAACAGACAAGCTGAAGTTGGATACCAAAACGCTTTGGGCAAGTCACTCAAATGCCACATCCTCTCGAAGCCACTAGCAGCTCTAATCAAACGGCGGAAGCGGCTGGGCATAGGTGTCCTGGTATAGATGGGTGCTTCCCTAAGTGGGTCCAGTGCAACCCATCTGTTCGGACGTGTCTTTGTTTGGTGTACCCCTTGGCTGTGGTTGCAGAGTAACCAATGGAAGCCACCCAACTTGGGGGGGGGGGGGTGGCCGCCTGGCCCTATCTTGAGACCTCATTCCTATGCCCGCGAACTGATGAAAAGCACAGCCCGTTCCTTCTCCCTTCAGTTTCTGGGACTGCGTGGTCGGGTTTGCAACCAACAAACTTTTCCGCAAGGCCTTGGAATAGGCTTGCCCTTTCCAACCTTCCCCAAAATTGGATTACTGGTGAAACGGTGCTTTTGCCAAGTCTTCGGTTACGAACCGGACTGAAGCCATGGTTGCATGTCTTCGCTGCGACACGTTCATATGTGTCTTTTTGTTGAGGGTACCCCACCATTTTGGGCGATTTTCAATAAAAGCAACACCAAGAAGAAACCACGCTTCCATGTTTGAGGAAGGTTTCCGGGTGTCCCAATTTGTTTGCTTTTTTTCCGCCACCTTTGCTTAACACGGCTGGCTTCGGGTTTTCTGCCCTTGGCTTAAAGGCGAAACCGGGCGCCGAAGGCTTGGGCCTTGGAGGTTCACCAGCTTCCCCTCCGTGGCCACCATCCCCACGATGCCCTTGTCCCAGGGCATGTTGAAGGGCATCTCAGCGAAACGAAGCGAAACCGAGGCGCCGAGGCGCCGGTTCCCAAGAAGCGCGCGGCCGTTTAAAAGCCGGCGATGCGAGCGCGCCGTTTGTTTTCTCCTTTTTTTTTGCGAACCGCGAGCGCGAAAGGTGTTTGATGTTGGCCCAAAGGAAAGAAGAGGAAGAAAATAGAACGAGGCGGCGCGGCTGTTTTTTTCCGGCTCAGATGAGTCATAAATCAAGACCCGGAGTTGAAAAAGGGCTGTAGCTCAAAAATATAAACAATATAGACCAGAATGGCATTGGCAAATGGAACCAAACACTAAACCCTGCGGTTTGCCCTAGCTCTTTCATTTTGAGCCACACCCAAATGATGACAGAAGAATGTAAAGAATTGCAGCGGCACATATCCGCACCCATTTGTGGCTGGTCCCTTATGACTCGCTTCGTCTCAGATGGGAAAGGGGCACCAAGAATCCTGAAGATCCCAAGCATGGGGGATGTACTAGCCAAAGGACAAGGAGCGGAAAATGGAGTCGCATCATATTGTTATTTGAATCCATGATGCTTCATTGGGAGAGAAACACCCAATCATCTATCTTGAGAGGAGGATGCTTTTCCTTCAGACTTAATTATCGCACGGGGAAAGATGAGATTAGGCCCCAACTAGAGCGGCGATCATGCCCAACGGTGTCCTGGCAAGTGGAAGGTTGATACAAGTCTGGCGATTCGTATGCCTGCAGCCTTCCAGCTGCAGGCCAAATTCCCAGCCCTTGAAAGTCTGGGCTGATGCCACCAGGCTTCATGTGAGACAAACACAAGAACAATCGAGAAACAAACAGCACAACAACACAAAGCCTGAAGACGGCACACCCAAACCAGGCACACAAAAACACATTCAACACAACATGGAACACCCATGGAACATCCATGGAACACCCATGGAAAAATCATGGAAAACCATGTAAAACCGATGGGCAACTTCTGAAAACCAATAAAGGCCTTGGAAAATCAAACCACACCCATGGAAAGCCATTGACCACCTATGTCAAACCAATGAAAACCCGTGAAAAAGCCCACAGAAACCCCATGGACAACCCATGGACCGCCCATGAAACATTTATGGCTGGAGCACCCACCAGGCACGGCGAATCGGATCGAATCGGATCGGATAGGATCAGATCTGGGGATCCGGGCCATGTCCAAAGACCCCACGCACCAAACCTCCCGGCGCATGTCGTCCACGAAGAAGATGGAGCACCGGTCCGCATTCAAAATGCCTCAGGGTCTGTTTGGGGGGTGGTCTATTTGGGGAGGTGAGGAGGAGGGGAAGGGGGTGGTGCCGAGGAGGAGCATGTCTCCCTACAATTAGAAACTCGAAACAATTTGGCTTCAGCCCATGAGCTAAAAAGAAGGCGCAGTTTTTTGGGCTGATTCGCAACCCAGCGGATCCATTTGCCTGTATAGGTAACAAAGGGAACCAAAGGGAAATAGCTGGTTAGCTACTGTATGGGTAACTGGGATCCACTGTGTGGTTTAGGGCGGTGTACCTTCTTTCCCTGCCAGCGGTCGACTTGAGAAGTGAAAAGGACTGATACAGCTACCCACAAGTTCGATTTGGTTTCAACTTGGGGGTTTTGGGGTTGGATTCGTTGCAATTTTGGATCTCTCCGCTCCAGGGATAAGGGATAGGAGAAGGGGTAGAAAAAGGGGGCGCCAACAAAGTGAAGTTTCGAGCCTCTGGGATCGTCTGACAGTGAGCTACGAGTCACATTTACCCCAAACATTTGAGGGAACATTTGATTCGTTTACTTGGTTGACGCTGGAAGGGGAGAGCAAAAACTTAAATTTGAGCAGTTAAGTGAGGATTTTCGGCTACACCACAATAAGCAAAACCGTAAAATGTGTCCCAACAACAACCATGTTTAGTGGCCAAAATGCGTCCAAGGGAAATTCTTACAAAGCTCATTTGTCGCAACTTTTCTCCGTCCAAGGGACGCATCACCTCGTCGATGATGGTGCGAACATAGACTGGCAGGCTAGTGTTCGGAGAGGAAAGGACATTCCTGAGCCGAGATTCCCGGGGTTTACATTCGGGCGCGCGCGTTTCTTTTTCCTTGGGATAGCTTTTTGAGGTTGGCTAAAAGGGAAACGACTGATTTTGAGACCCCATTTTGACACTTTTGGCGTTAGGAACAAGGCCTTCGCTCACCTTGCAAAGCCAGTCAGTGCAAAGTGGGCAATGACTCTATGACTCTATGTCTGATTTTTGGGTAGACTTAAAAAGCAGCGGATTCTGCAAATGGGTGCATCTGTTCTTGAGGGTACCCCCTTTTTGGGTGGGTTTAAAGGGACACCAAAAGCAGGACCGTGCGCCATTTTGGGTGGGTCCTCTTGTGATACAAAGCTTCGAATTCCGATCCCTCTTTATCCCTTGACAGGAACCCAAAATTCAAAATATCCTTTGCTTACAAGGGGAGCCGCCTTTGATTCGCGCGGTTGTCCAGATGAATCCAAATTTAGCTACTGAAAGCAAATAAATTCGGATTCTTAAACTTAGCTGTTGGAGTGTTGATCGTTATAGCCGAAAGTTTAATACGGTTGTCCCCCAATTTCAACCTTATTTGAGCTCGTCGCCCACATTTGCCAACACATTCCAAACGACCTCTTTGCCCAAGAAACCAAGCACCTTGAGAAGTATAGACTCGTATATCAGTGAGCATAGTGGCACTCAGCCCAGCTTCCCGGAGTCGGTACATTGGGCCTCTTTGCCAGGTGCTTGAAATCGTGGGGCTTGCCTGTGTCTCCCCTTGAAAATCAAACAAGAAGAGGAGTCCACGATTCTAGGCAATCACTGGCTTTGTCAACATTGTGGGATTCTCTGCCTCTGATTGCCCTCCAAACCACCCCCAAGTACCCTCAAAAACGCGCAAGCAGGCTTGCCTGTTAAGGGATGCTGGGAGCTCTGAACCTCCGCCAAGACGCAGAAAAGCCACAGCGGGCCGGAAAGTTTGAATCTTCTCACTGCCAGTGGTCCACTCCAGCCAGTTGCCTTACACAGCTGCGATGTGTTTTTTTGGGTGGGGCGGTTGGCTCCCCTACTCTGATGCCTCTGGGTCGACGCCGGAAAGATAGAACCCGTTCCTTTGCGGGGGGGTGTTTCCCTCAAGTCTGAACCGGCACCACGGGTGGTCCCCTGATTCCCAGCACCAAAACAGGGTTTGGCAGAGAGCAATCGGCACAAAAAACATCGCTGGGAACCTGCTGGTGCCAACCAATGTTGACATAGGTTCAAGATGCTGTGTTGATTCTCCCTGCGCCCCCCATATTATGAAGGACACCCCAGTTTGCAATGCCCCTCTTGTACTCTTGGGTCAATAAGGGGCAAACCAATTCCCTACACAACGTCCATTTGACAAATGAACTCCTTGCCAGCAAAGGAAAACCAAAAGAACACCTTCCCTCCAAAACCCACCAGGCAAAACCAGCCAGAAGCGACCCAAACGACCTTGGCTTTTGATACATGGAGATAAGGTGAATGTATTGACCTTACCTCCTATTTCGCTCCACCAAACTGGAAGCTGGTGAGGCTTTTTTTGGAGGCTCGGTACCCCGTCTTTTTTATTTCCCTTTTTTTCAGGTACAGGGATGCCAAAAGAGAAACCCTTGAGCCAAATTTGTTGGGTCCTATAAACAAACCGAGGTGCCTCATGTGTAACGGTTGCTTTTTTAGAGGGCAACCACCATGGACACCCATTTTGGTCCAATTCCTTTCTTCTTCTTTTAAGCCACACCGGCCAGGTGGGTTTGTTTCTTTCAAGGGGTCAACCACCGTGGACATTGGATATTACCCATTTCTGTGGGCTCCAACTCCGAGGTTTTTGGGCACCCCCAGTTCTGGCCGCAGGTGCGGAAGGGCATCGAGGGCCAGCCGGAGCCGGATTTCGGCTCGTCATTGGAGTGGTAGCCTCAGGATATACGACGCGAACCGACGCGAACCGATTCGGTCCGATGGCCGTCCGAAACCAAGACAGTCAGGTCACCCCAAGCTGCTTTTGGTGGAAGGCGAATTGGGACTGCAACCCTTCAACTGACACAGTTTGGGGAGGGCTGTCCTGAAGATTGGATCACCCCGAACAAAGTTAAATGTTGGAAGAACTGGAAACCCTGAAACCTCGGAACTAAAGCAATGGGAGTTGAACCCAAATCTGGCTTAAAGAAACCCACAAGCGTGACAGGGTAACCCAAAAATGGAAACTGAAACCTGCGGCCTGGTCGAATTTTGACAGAACCTCCGGTACGCTCCAATCCGGGCTCCCTCTGAGAAATGGACAAACCGCCTCTTGACTGGCGGGGATTCCCTCAGTTAACCCCCAAAAGTGGATGCCGAGTACGCAAGCCTTCGTCATGCTCGTTTTACCCCACGGTCTTTGCCCGGAATCGGGGTTTTCCCTTGGTTTTGCAGGGGAGGTGTTCATATGATGAGGACATTTTTTGTGAATCAGCAGCGGTTCATAAACTCGTTCCCAAGAAGGAGCTCAGCCACGACCAACATTTGCTCCTAACCTGACATCAATGATGACTTCATTCATGTCTCAAATGGTTGATTTGGCCGGTTGGTGGGAAGCACACAGACAGCTATTTGCCCGGACTTGCACTCGCAAAACGCGAATTTCAAATGAAGGAACTTAGAGCCAAAAGGCATGAAACTCTTGAAAAATGAGAGGTTCAAGGTCCAACCAAGCACAGAACCCACAGGTGAAGTATCAAGGAATATTTGCCATCTGGTAAGAACATATGCGGTGGGCCCGTTCACCCGAGCCTCTGCCGATCTAAGCCCGGAAACAACCTCATCCGCTTGTGATTTCTTGAAATCAAAACACTTTCGACACACAGCTTATTTTGGTTTCCCGGCATAGGGGGATGCTTTTGAGTACCCCAGAAAATGGGCTTCCTGTTGGTCCCTGTATCCCACCCTTTGCTGCCTTTTGCATAAACATGGAACCACAAGGGGCCCAAGGAATATGGTCTGCTAACCGGTTCCTGTGGTTCCGTTGGGAGGCTACCCACGGGACCACCGAGATCCAACCGTTTCGCGTGGCTCCGTCTTCCGAGGGGCTCTCCTTGGTCTCTGTGCGCAGCGCACCGCTGGCGCTGCTGGCACCGGAACCCATTGCGTGACAAGTCGCGGGGACTGCCGGCTTTACGCGGGGAAAAATTGAAAAAGGGTTTCAGAACATGGAAAAATTGGAAAAGGGGAAAATGGGAAAATTGGATCCAGAAAAGCTTTGGCGACACGTTCTCCAGGCGAATGTCGCACCTTTCAAGGAGCCGCTCTCACGGACGGGGATGGCTTCCATTCGGGGCTCAATACAAACACCACGCTTGAGCCACGGGTTCCGGGCACTTCCCCTCGGCTTGGGCCCTTGAAGTTCCAAGTCTCGCAAAATCGCGCCGGAGAACGCCGCGTTAAGGCCACTGGTTGCAGCCGAAAACCGGGTCGCAACAAAAAGCCGAAAGCGTTCCCTCCCCATAACCATCGATGTCTGTAGCTTCTTATGCTTCGTTCAGCAAAAGGGCCTGTAAACCACCTCATAAAACCCCCATGGGTGGGACACCGCCCATGATTTGTTTTTTGGCACCCTTTTTTCAGGGCGAGCTTTTAGCTTTGTCGGTCCCATGGTGCAAAGTCCCAGGTGCCCCCGAGGCTTCAGCAGCAGACCTAAAGGCCGTCGGCCAGTTCTCTCCAACCGTGACATGGGAACTGAAAACCGGTATGTTGTGCATCTAATTCTTATCTGATTGTCTTAAACGACTTTTCATAGTGCAATTACCCACCAAACATATGTGTCGCCCACAAGGTCTTATTATGCTGTATGATCGTGTTGACAGGTTTAGGGTTCTTAGGTTTAAGGTTTTCAGGGCTTAGGTTTATGTTTTTTAGGGTTTAGGTTTAGGGTTGTTAGGGCTTAGCTGAGGGTTTTTAGCGTTTAGGTTTAAGGTTTTCAGGGTTTTTAGGGTCATTTTTGGGTTTGGGTTTAAGGTTTTTAGGTTTAGGGTTTTGAGGGTTTTTAGGGTTTAGGTGTAGGGTTTAGGGTTTAGGCTTGCTTGGAGCTGGCTGTCCGGTGCATCCGAGGCTGGCTTCTGGGGTGGGGCCCGGGGGACTCGGAAGTGCGCTTTCGCCGCGCCCGCCACCGCTTTTTGGGAGGTCTCGGGGACCCGGAAGCCCGGGCGGCCGCGGGCAACACATACGTTTTGGCCGTGCAATTTACATCCCCAGAGTCCAAAGCGAGCTTCTTTTGAGGCGGAACGGCACAGTTCTGCTGCTTTTTGCCTTGACCCCTGCGCTTACCCCCCGCCAGCCAGAGGTCATTTCCCATCCACGAGCCCTCTGAACAATTTGCCGCTCGGTGCCCAGCTGCGGCCCCCAGAGTCGAATACCAAAACATGGGAAGGTTGACCTCAAAACAGGCGCCACATGGGTATGGTCAAAATTAAACCACCCGGAGACCGCAGGTTTTAGTCTTTGGTTCCATTTACCAGGGTTCCATTCTGGGTACCTATTTTTGACCCACAGCCACATAGCACTCCTAGCACGAACCAGTAGACACCTGTGCTCAAATCAACCAAGCACAAGCTGCAATGTTTCTAACTTGTGGGGTTCTGCGTGGGTTCCCCACAGGACCTGGGAGGCTTTTCCCGTTTCCGGGCCCCACACTTGGACCGGGGCTGCTTCCCCTGATCTACCTTTCGGAGCTTCCTTTGTCCGCAAAAAATCCGAAGTCACCGGTGCAGGGTGGCAAACGATTCCCCAAAGTGGGTTGGAGCTTCGAAGCTCCTGCATGTACTCCACCCCCCAACTTGCTTTTGTTGGCCTTTGACCTTTCTGCGTCAAAGCCAAGAGAAATCAGAAAGCCCCTTAGTTTGATGTTTGGGATCTGAACCAGCTTTTCTACAGAGGCTACATGGGGGGTCTCCCCTCCATTTCACCACCACCACACAGCCCGATTCCTCCCACCTGCAGATCGCCGCCGCCCAGCTGGGCGTCTCAGAAAAAAAGAGCGTTGGGGGGGATCGGTGGGCGACCGTGGGCGTGGCCGTCCTTCCATGGGCGGCTTTTAAGTCCACTGGAAAAATGAGAACATATTTGTTTACGGTAGTGAGAGATTCTCTTGAAAGCCAACAGGGGACGATTGAAAAGGGAACTCAAGCAAATGGAAGCTTCCGCGGGCTCTTCGGAACCGTCGCGCGGTGACAACAACAGAGAATCGCGCTGCCGGGGATCTGCACTTCCGAACCAGTGGAGCCAGAAAACGTCACCGGCAACTTTTAATTGTGTGATGTATTGCTTCCGGAAAGGAACCAGAGAAAGTCACCAGGAACTTTTAATGTGTTTTTCACTAAAACGGTCCAAACTCCCAAAAAGTGACTAAAGCCGAAGTCGCGGAACTCTGGGAGTGATCTACGCCCCAAAGGTCCCCATGTAATTCACCAACTTCGCTTGCGGCGGATCTCCCCACTGCCACCGAGGTCCGAGGGTGTATCAAGCAGCGGGCGAACTGCCCACGTCTCTGCCAGCCGCGTAATTCGTGCGCTCGCTGCCCACTTGTCCTCGTGCTTCCGCTTCTTGCCCACCAGCCTTGCAAGCTTCACCTCCGCTGCAGACAGATCCTGCTTCAACATGCGGATGTTGGTGCGCACTACGTCCATCTCGGCGCCTTTGGGGGGCATGGGAAAACCGGGAGAAGGCGACCAGATCTTGACTCGTCCATGGATCTTCCAGGCGAGTTCTGAAGTTGCGACGTGCTGAGATGGGGACCTTCTCTCTTGAGCCCTGGAAGGGACACCGATTTCTTTGGGTCCTCTTCGAGGGCAAAGCAAACGCGCGGGCCCTGGCCGACCGAAGACCTAAGACCTAAGACCTAAGCGCCACCGAATTTCTTCCGCCAGGATCCATGCCTCCGCACGGGCCAGTGGCACCCCAATGTCAAGATGTTTCCAACTCCACCGTGTCATGGCCCCTAAATGGTAGGTGGAAGGAAACCAACCTCATTCTCTGACTTGGATGGGCCCCCAGAAACAGCCAACATAAGGTGAACAAGGCGATCCTTCTCCGGCAGAACCTCCCGGGTCAACTTGCCAAAACCCATCCTCAACTTTCTACCCGGAACCATCAAGCTTCACGGCCCCTAACGGGCCACCCTCCCAGCTGTTGGGGGTGGTCCGCGTTGGTCGGCAGGAATTGTCCCGGCCGAGGGCCAGAATCCTCCCCTGCAGAAAGTCGGAAAAGCCAACCCCGGAAGAAGGTGATACATACCCCAGTCAAAAACAAGCATGTACCTGGTATGTAATAAGGGCGCGCGGCTTTTAGGGGACTCGAAAAATGACCGTATTATTTCCTAATCTCCACTCAGGATAAATTGTACCCCTGTTGATTAAGTCTGGGGGAGTCTAAGAGTCTAGTGGGGATTCATCACTTGAAAGGACCACCCCCATATTCATAAACAGGGGCTTATTAGTCCGGGCGGGGCCAATTACAACAGGCTGAGGGTGAGCACATCCTCCCAGAGCCCCTGGGCGCCACGCCTGACTTGCTTTGGGCTGTAAGCAATCTGAGCGCCAAAAAACCGAGCGGCATTTTCTACACAACAAAGAAACCAGGATGAAACGGCAAAGAAACGGTTCATCGCCTTTTCCAAAAGGGCCTCTCCGAATCAGACTCATTGGGCTGTGACATTTCATGGGAAACCCACTTTCAAAGTGGTTGGTTGGACATGAATCCCAACCTAAATGATGTCCACCAAAGGGTCCCTTCTTAGAATTCATAGCCATCTGTTGGGGAAAGCAACAAGCACTGTTAAACTCACTCGGACCGTTCCCGGTCTTCGTGCCCTTTGAGGCGTTGGCTGTTCACCCACGAATACCCCGTTCCCTGGCTGGCACGGCAACTTTTTACAGCAATCCTGTCGCAACAACTCACGTGGGTTGCTATAATTTGGCCAGATTCGAACCTGTGACAACTGATTGAGTGGCCGTTGCGATTGGAAAGCTAATCCGCTTACGAACCTATGATTGGATCCCGCTATGTTTGGGGCTTCGAGATCTGATGAAACCAGCTTCCGTGTTTCTGCGGTCCCATGGCGTTGTTTGACAAACAGTAGTTTCTGAGTCTGTTTGTGCTTCGGGTTTCAGAAGTTTGTGTTCCCTCCTGCGATGGTGCACCGGCTCTGTGACAAAGGACCCATCATGTCAGCCTGTCCTTTCTGCACACAGCCCATGTAAACGGAATAAACGCAACAGCGACAGCAGCAACAAGGCTCCGTAAAACACCCACGCAGTGAACGCCGGAAGGAGAAATTGGGAATTTCTGCTGCTGGCATTCTTCTTATCATGGTTGCTGGCTGCTTGTGTTTGATTTGTCTATTCCTTCCATGGGTGCGATTAACACGTGCCTTATTGTTGCTATTCTTCGGAGTTTTTGTCTTCTTTAAATCATTGTTCTTCACGTGATTGTGGAGTTTGCTGGTCATGATTGTTCGTCTTCTTATTAGCAAGAATACATTGCCCACCAGGCAAGTGTGTCCATCCACTGGTTGCACACCACCCAAACCAAAAACATGCGAGCACCGGGGCTCCTTCGGGCGTCCCTTAAAAACCACAAACAACAAATTAGATACCTTCCATTTGCTTCTTCGCTCGCTGGAAAAACAAATATAAACCTATTCCCCAGGAGAAAAATCGATTCCCCTCATCTACCAGGGGAAAATACCAAAACAAAAAGCAAACATATCGTTTCAGCCCATGGAAGACGATGCTACCAAGCTACCAAAAACCAGAAATTCAGCGCCCGACCCCCCGGATCCATTCGATCCATTCGATCCATTCGATCCATTCGATCCATTCGATCCATTCGATCCATTCGATCCATTCGATCCATTCGATCCATTCGATCCGATAGCGCCTGGGCGAGGCTCCACTGGCTCCTGCGATCGGGTACCCCAAAGGTATGGATCGGCGTGGGTGCTTTATTATTTTTTAATATTAAACGGGGCCCAGTTTGTGTTTTTGTTGGCTTTCTCTTTTTTTTATAATGTGTTTTTTTGGATTTTTCACGGGGCCCAAGAAGGACGGACCTGCCTCGTGGAACGTCCCAACTGCTTTTTGGGGCTTTTGGCCTTGCGTTTGCCCGGCTCCAACGTGTGCCTCGCTTGTTTGTTGGCTGTTTGTTGGGATTTTTGGGGAGGCATGGGTGAGCTCCTTTTGCCTGAGCTGGACAAGAATTGGCAGATGGCGGCGTTTTTCGAGGGTGCCCCTTTCTGGATTTGCGTCTCTAAACGGCTCCAAAAGGAACGCATCCAAAATGAGGGGCTAAGTTGGCAAACCCATTTTGGAGGACCTCCTTGGGTTCCATGCGAATTTGTGCAGAGGAATTCTTCCACCAGGTCACGTGCAACATATGTGCGTTGTGTTAACTTGAACGTCATACAAACAAAACCACAGTAACGTCCCAGCGCATTGGATCAGGTTCCTGTTCGCTGCCCAAGAATTCCAGTGGCGTTTGCGAGCCGTACTCACTGGGGAAAACCTGCGCCAAAGGGAGATACCACACCAATTCGCGCCAATATTCCTCAGGGATGCTTTTGGGGTGCTTTTTTTCGCCTGTATAGCCGCTATGGGCTATTTGGGGTATGCAGTGCGGGCCTTGACTTCGACTGCGTGAGCCGCTTCTTGCCCAGCCGGGCAACCAACCAACCAGCCGAACAACCAAACCAAACTAACCCAACCACAAGCAAACAATGGGTCAACCTGCAGTGGTCAGAGTCTGAGTCAGAGCTGTGGATGGTTGAAATCGAAATCCGAAAGGGAATCGAATAATTTCAGGGCTTCTTAGGTGGTGCAGGATTTTATCTATTCGTAGTATGTTGACAACACCCTCCAGTGTAAACAACCCTTGAGGTTGTGTTCCCGCCAAAAGGCCCTTGCCTGTGCGACAGAAAGGGACCGACACCTACCACTTAATTGGATCCAATTCTGCTTAAAGCCATTTGGGTGTCTTACTTTGAGGGCACTACCTACATTTCATGGTTTTGCATCAGCAACAAAGGAGCACCACCATTTTGGTTGGGGTCCCCCAACAATGGACACAGCCATGTTGTTGAGGGCAGTTCACAAGCAGAGAGACACCTTGAATCTTGAGGACTTCATGTTGCCCCCCGACGTTTGTGCATTCAAATCAAAGTGGGGGAATCGCGACAGACCACGGCCAACAGCCAAATCAAGCAGACGCAATAAGACAATGCCGCTGACCGGCCATGAAAGCATGTCCCATTGCGGCGCGTTCCGGCCATGCAGACCTTGCCATGATTCTTCGAACGGACTTCTTGGCAAGAACAAACATGCCGTGCATGTGCAAAGCGGTTGTTTCCTGAAGTTGGAGACCTCCTTTGGCGGTTTTCTCAGACAGGCAGCTCTCGGACCAAAGTGATACCCTCCAAAACTTCATCTGGGAAAGGGAGTCAACCTGAAATCACCCTGAGAACCTCTCATAGCCATATTCCCGGTCGGGGTATGGGGTTAACCTTTTGCTGGTTCAAGAAAAATCATGGACCCGAAAGGCAGGCTTTAGAAAGGTGACTGGGTGTGTCTTTCAGGATTTGAATCCCCAAGATGGCTTCGGTGTTCCTCTTGGTTTCAAACTAAAAGGGGGTACCGGGTACCGAACCTCAAAAACTGACGCACCCATTTGAGCTTCCATTTTGGTGGAAGCCCTCTGCGGCCACATGAGGATAGGATGGACATCAAATAATCCAAGCCTTCGCAGACTCTACCGTCTCAGACTTCCAAAGATTCATTTCACCACAATTTCTGTGGTTCCTGCCTGTCAAGCTTGTTGATTCTTGGGATTCATAATTTTGTTCGTTCTTCTGGGTTCATTGCTTGTTTAAAAAGACACCCGGACAAGTCTAGCAAGGGGTAAGTTTCGAAGGCACAAACCAGACTTTGGATACATGGCACACGGCACATGGTCATGCCATGACTCGCTTGCTTATTTTTTGGAGGTTTCGCGCGTCAAACGATTTGGGGAATTCCTTCCCCTACGGATTCAGAAGCCCAACAAGCCATCATGTTTCTTTGGGGGGTCCAAGTTGTCCAAGTTCCTAGTTCTTGTTGGCTCACAAAAGAAGCCTGTCATGCGTTTTGGGGGTTCCAAGTTCCTGGTAGTTCTGTTTTTTTCTTCGGGGGGAAAAGCGGAGGCCACAGTTTGGGGTTCCAAGCCCCGACCAAAACCTGCGACCTCCCCCGCCTTGCCGCGCCGGCCCTGGAGCCGCGGGGGTTGCACCGGAAAAAGGTGAATGAGTTTTTTTTTCCTGGACCCTCGCGCGGCGGGTCGATTTTTCTTGGAGTTGGCGTTGTTGTTCTTTTCATCAGTTGGGTTTTGAGGGGAAACCCAACTGAGACCCCTTCCCCTTTTTTCGGCTCGCGCCCCCCCCCCCCTCCATTTTGACAACTGCGGCTATCCCGGCTTCCTGGAAGCGCCAGGCCCGGAAAAAGAGGCGGAATCCCGCCAACCGGAAACCCCCGGCATCGATGTGCAAGGAACACTCGCCGGCCGTGCCCCGTTTTCTTGTTGTGAACCTGGTCCCACGTGTCCTTTCTATATAAATGAACGGCCCGTAGATCATGGTCTTTCCTGTCCGTTGCTAACTTGTCAACATGCACAAACCCTGTGGATTGCAAGCTGTGCAACCTGCTCCCTACTGGCTCGGGACGTGTGCAAGCAACGGTAGCAACCAACGATTTGACAGACATGCCAAAAATTGAAGCGGCCAAGCAGCAAATTTCATAGCGGAGGCGGAATTGAACTCGGCATGCCTATGCTTTCTCTTGCATGCACCCTTGGTTTTGAAAGAAACCACCATTAAAATGGAACCCCCCACTAAACTAGTCTAAAAACCTAAAAACCTAAGGGACCAGACATCCCTTTATGTTGACCCCATATTGATCAACCCCTGTTCAAAAAAATTAGGGGGGGGGGGTGGGGGGCCTCCAAAAGTCCTCTGAATCCCCACTAAACCCAGGCCCAATTTTCCTGTTGAACCTTCATCTACCCGGGCGTTGATTCCGCATATTCCCTTTCTCCGCAAGACACGCCATGGCCCGCGCCCGCCTCCGAACTGTCCAGGAGCGCCTTGCAGGCCGTTCCGAAAACTGGTCCGTTTTTCCCATGGAAACAGAACTCCAAAGAGGACTCTGGACTTTCCTGGTGGGTTTTAGGGACAAGCCCCCCCCAGGAAAAGAAGGAGAGCTTGAAGAAGAAAGAAGGAGGAGGAAATGTAGTTTGCCGATGGTTTGCCAATCAGACGCAAAAGGGATGCCCTTTCAAAACCACCTGCCTGAATCAGGTGGCACTACCGGTCAAGAACAATTGGATCAGGGCGACAAGCCCTTTGGAATACCTGGGGCGATGGCTTCCAACGGATGATTAAATCGCCGCTTGCACGGAACACATGTGCCTCCATGTGCGTGCGCGTCCGGAACAAATGGAAAATATGTCCAGTCGTGAAACAGATTTTCTTTGAAGCCAACAAACAAAATAGCAGAAGATTCTTCAACAAATGGAAGTACTCTCTCCCTCTCTCTAAATTCACCGCCATTTCTTGATCCTAATGAAGATGGAACCCCCATAAAAAACAAATCCACGAATTCACGCCTTGATGCCTTCTTCCTTGTGACCGCTCGACCCACGAGCTTGTGCTTGGACAAAACGGGCTTTGTCACAATGCCGCACCACAGCGAGCCCGAAAGAAAAAGGCAAGCGAACCGCCTAACCACCCCGCCTCCATTTATGGTGGATGCAATGCGTGGATTTCAGGCAAGCCCATACAGTAGATAACCCGTTGTTGCTTTCGTTTGCTCACTTCCTGAGTGGATTGACCCGAGAAAGTCCAAGGAACTTGTTTTAACACTGAAATGGTTTTCCCAAGAAGTATAAAGTCCAGGAACTCGGGGAGTGAGTTTGGTGGTTCAAGTGTGGTTTGCTTGGTTACCGGCAGGTCAATGGATCCACTCAAATACGCTTCCACCCCCGAATGTGGAACAAATCGATTCCACTCCCCCGGTCTGTTGCTAAGCGCACATCCTGAGTCAGTCCAAACCCACCGGCCTTAAAATGGTACCCAGAACCAAGGCATCAACAAGGCTCCCATTCAAACCTTCAGCTCTCAATCCGGAAAATTCACAAAGCTTTAACCAAGTGAAAGCACAAAGATCCGTTACCAAATAGCCATAAAGGGACCCTTTACAAAAAAAAAAAGGGGGCGGCACGCAAAAAATGATTGGGACTATCCCTTTACCTTCACCTCCATTTGCTTACGTCTGCAGGACAAAATGAACATGCTCGGTTGCTTTCTGCTCCCCTGCTAGATGTTTAACTTTTATTTAATGGAAAAATTCATGAGCTGGCAAAAAGTTGTCAAGTCCCAACATCCCCTGGCAAAATGCAATTCAAACCTCGTCCTTCCAAGCGAAAGGCCCATATCTCCCCGGGCCAAGCGCCCGCGGCTGGGCTCCCCTGCGTATCCCTTGCTGGCCGGATCCTTCACGCCTCGATGGCTATCTCCAAGCTCGCTGGGAATGGAATCGAATCTGTGGTACAGAAAGGGCCTAACCCCAAAGACTACCTTGTCTCTACTCCTTAAAACTCCAAGCCCTGGGGAAGTGAATCTTTTACAGACATATAGCCCATGTTACCCAAAAAGTCGAAACGTTGTGTTTTTAAGAGGTAAGTTGTTCATATAAAGGGGGATTCCCAAAAGTATCACAGAAGTGGTTGGAGAAACCCCGAGCGATCCCACAACCCTGTCCAAGCTTGATGCACAAATTGGGGAACCACCTGGGTGCGTCTTCCAGTTCCACCCCCCGCCCCCCGAATGGCAAAAGGGTCGCCCCTTTTGGCTTCCCTTTTCTTAACCATCAAAGGGGGGTGCCCGGAAAAGGACGAGCCACCCAAATCGGGCCGTGTGCGTTGTTTGTCACATTGTGGCGGAACATACGCAACACTTGCAGTAACGAGGTCTTGCCAGCAAAGCTAGAACTCGTGGTTGGCCTGGAAAGTACACCCGAATCATGCGGAAGCGCACTCCATGCCAAATGATGAGAGACATTGCGCTGCAAGTATTGCATGCCACAATGGCATGCCGTGTTTGTTGTGCTGCATAATTGTGTGGTGTCTAACATTAACATTGCCAGGCCTTGAAGGGAGGCTGAGACGATGCGAATTCCGAATTCCGCGTCGCCTTCAGCGGACCTTTGTTATTGAGAACGGGGAGCCAAGGCTTTCCAGGCTTTCTTACATGACACATGATCGGCCCCCGTGTTTTTTGTTGTTTTTGAATGTCATTCAGGTATGTGTCAAAATACGGGGGACCCTCGAACGCGGCGGTGTTCCTTTTGGTTTCCCTTGAAACCAAAACCACCAAAAGAGGAAACCACAGAGACGGTAGGTTTCCCTTGAAACCAACCACAAAAAGAGGAAACACAGACACACACACACAAAAAATCAGGTAGGTTCAAGCCACAGGGGGAGGCCTGGGGAAGTCAGCATCACATCCCCGGCCTTCTTCTTCCGGCTCGCTGGCGAGCAGCGGCGACCTCGCGCGGATGGGGGGCGCGTAATTTGCGCTCTCTCTGGAGTGGAGCTCGGCTTTTGGCAGCT